CAATCATACCCATATCCTAAACCTAGTCATCTTCATCGCTAAGATCCTCTTCCTCCCTAGATTTTCTAGACTTTCGCTCCAGTTCCCTGGCGTAGAGTTCCTTGAAAGCTTCGTATTCCGGCAGGGTGACATGGCAGATCTTTGTGGCAAAACTCTTCTCGGACGTGTCCGTAATCTGATACAATTTGTGGTTGGTAGTGGGCTCATTGGGATCGGCTTTCAGGGGCCGGGGCTTGAATAGACCCAAACGAACCAAGAATTCGTGACGACAACGCAGCTCATCAAAGGGCAAAGATAATGCTGCGGATTTCGCTAATTCCGGCACTTCAATTCGCATCACATCTATTAGGAAATTCAATTTCTCCTCTACGGATTCCTCGGATTGGGCTATCAAATCCGGACTGTTCATCAGTAGTTTCCAAACATTTTTGCTGGTGGAAACACGACTCTTTAGAAAGCCAATGTGGGAAAGTAACTGATGGGAGTCGCTGATGTCCAGCAATTCAGGATATTTTGTGAGAAGCAGGTGCAGAAGATTCTCGCCGAATTGACAGGCCCTCCAGATTTCCAAGCTGTTGATTATTCTATCTGGTGTTCGTTTCAGAACTGCAGGATTACCGGTGACAATCCTCAGGAAGTTCACCGTTTCCAGGCCGTGATTTCGAAAGGTTTCATGAGCTCGTCGCCAGATCTCAGGTGTAAAAATGGATAAAGTAGGTTCTATTTTGATGGCTTCGTCAATGTGGATTTGCTCGAGTTGCAAGATCTTGGGACTGGCCAGGTGTCTTATGTTAAGTAACTGTAAAATATTTTATGTATTACGATCTTTACTTATTAGGACTTAATCATACTCACCTTTGGTTGCTGTTTTAATACAACTTGGGTGTTAAATAATAGTTTTCTAAGCATTTTGAGGACGTTTTTCTGAAATCCGCAAGCAAAACAATAAACAGCTGTTTCGCTTCTTCTTAAAAATGCCATTCACCATGAAACGCCAACAACGGCATGCTTAGCTTGTACACCCACCACCAATGAAAAAAGCTAATTTGTCAAGTAAAACAGGGAAACTGACTTGTTTTTCTTGTCGGGTGCTCAGGGAATAGTTTATAAAAAAAGTTATAAATAGAACTGTCGCGTATAAAAAACAACACAGTGGAAAGTTTTATCAAAGCGTTTAGTTCTACCACACGATGTAAGGGGCTTTAAGTAGATAATTAAAATAAGGGTGAACTAATAATAAGCATTATTATATTTTTATTTCGAAAGTGCTTATGTTACAAACAAAGCAGCCGGCTAATTTAACACTCAAGGTTATTGAGGTGTGTTACAATATAAAAAATAATCAGAAATGTGCAAGTAATCAAGTAAATAATAGTAGGAGCACCTGTTGCCTGTTGGAAGCAAAAACAAACAAAGAACGAATAGAAAATGTACCGGTAAACTGATGGGTAATATATGTACACTGAAAAAAAAATGCTATGATCCAGTATAACAAATTAACTTTTAAAGATAATTAGACAAAAAAGGTATTTGTTTGCGTGCAATAAGAACTAGACTATGATAATCAAATCTCTATTTCCATTATCTTTTATGTATATGTAGCAAATCGATCGTGACAAGAATTTTTTTTATTGAGGAAATTATTGCTAGAAAGAGATACATAGCTTTGAATGGCTGTATACAGGTGGCATCCAGAATAATTCAAGTAGCACTCAAACAAGGTCAAACTCAATAACATTGTGAAATAGCACCATTAATTTTGTTCGATTTTCTTTCAAAGAATTTGGGGGGACGATAAACTCCCAGTGGGGAGAAATATAGCACTCGATTCTCTCGCATTCTCTGCTGATAAGGAGGCTTCTCCACCCATATATTTAACTAACAGTCCACTCGGCTTTCCACTCAGTCACAGCCCGTCCCACAAACCAGCAACATGTCAAAACTCATCCGTTGGGGAATCGCTTCAGCCGGCAAGATCAGCGAGGATTTCGTCATCGCACTGAGCACCCTGCCCGCCAGCGACCACAAGGTCCAGGCTGTCGCCGCCAGATCCCTGGATCGTGCCCAGGAGTTCGCCACCAAGCACTCCATCCCCAAGGCCCTTGGAAGCTACGAGGAGCTGGCCAAGAGCAGCGATGTCGGTGAGTAGAAATATAACCAACTTTTGGATTTGATAGGACAACAATTCGGTATTCAAATGGAATTCATAACTAAAAGTTGGGATAAAGCTAAAGGCCTGATTTTATTCAATTGTTCTTAAAATTCCCAAGTGATTTTTTTTTTTAAATATTTAATTCAAAAGAAACTTATAGGAAGGCTAGAAAAAAGTAAAAATAAAAGTAGTTTAGTAGTTATTATATAGTTTTGATAGGGTATCTAAAATTTTCGAATAATAAATAATAATATATTTCCAATTAAATTGTACCCCCTCTTCTTTATCAGATGTGGTGTACATTGGAACGTTGAACCCCCAGCACTACGAGGTGGCTGTGCTGATGCTGAACAATGGCAAACATGTGCTCTGCGAGAAGCCTCTAGCCATGAACAAGAAGCAGGTGGAGGGCATCCTGGCTGCTGCCAAGGCCAACAAGCGCTTCTTCATGGAGGCCGTGTGGTCCCGATTCTTCCCCTCGTACCAGCACGTCAAGGAGCTCATCTCCACGGGTCAACTTGGTCAAATTAAGGATGTGGAGGTCAACTTTGGCTTCCCATTGGAACATGTGGAACGCCTGCAGTAAGTATACAAAGTAGTACCTTATTTGGATGTTATAGAAACTTCATATATAGCACTATGAACGTTTGTTAAAGTTCAATAATTTTTCTTGGTTTTGTAAAATTTTGTAAATCTAAACAAATTGTTTGGTTTTTCTGTGCCAGAAACTGAACTTTAGAAAAAACTGATTCAATTTCAATTAACTTCAATTTCTAATTTTATCCAACTGCTCTTAAAATTCTCAAGTGCTTATTTCAAAGCTAAAAAATGAAAATGTATTAATATAACCTTTCTCCAAAAGGAAACGCGAGTTGGGAGGCGGCGTGGTCTACGATCTGGGAGTTTACACCATCCAGGCTTCGCAGTGGGCTTTCCAGGAGAAGCCGGAGAAGATCGAGTCCAAGGGAAGCCTCAACGCCGAGGGCATCGATGATGACGTGAGTGCCACGTTGACCTACAGCGGCGGACGTACCGCTCGCATGCGATTCTCGTCCAAGGAGAAACTGTCCAACACCGCCGTGATCAAGGGCAGCAAAGGACAAGTTACCGTAAGTAATCTAATCGAACGTTGTGAATTAACAGAATCTAATATATACTATATATATATATTATCTACCAGCTGATTGACTTCTGGACACCCAACAAGCTGATCGACATCGATGGCCAGGAGAAGGAGTGGCTGCCGCCCAAGGGCAAGTACGCGACCAACTACGCCAATTCCGAGGCCATGAGATACGAGGCGGAGGCAGTGCGTCAGTCCATCCTCGCCGGCGAAGTGGAGAACAAGAACATGACCTACGCCGACAGTTTGCTCTTCGCCGAGATCGAGGACACCATCCGCAAGCAGATCGGTGTGCTCAACAAGTTCGACGAGGAGTAAAAGTAGATTCTAAAGCTTAACATGTAACCATAACATAAACTAATAAACACACATTTTGTAAAAACTATTTAACAACTTTTCTTAATCATCTTTTTATTATACATATGCAAGCAATGAAGACCTAATGGTAACAGCCTAAATTGTTTTATAAGTATTTCTGTTGATAAGCAAGCAAATATAATAATGAACAGTGTTTATTGACAGCTCAAATTTTGATAAAACGACACTAGATATATATATTTTCATATATTTGATATTTTTACCTCCAACGTTAGTATTTAATCATATAGTAATGATAATAATAATAATGTGGGTAATGGAACCAAAGTTTGTATGGGACTTTTACTCAAAAGCAAATTTGTGTTACATTTATATATTTACAATTTGTTTTTTTAAATACACTATTATATCTAAATTATTAGGCCCATTTTCCCACATTTTACACAGAATTTACCCCAAGCAGTGCCAATTTCGATGCCCCACTCAAAATCAAGGATTGACAAACAATTTTGATAAGGCAAAATATTGATTGTACTACAGAGCGGCAGCAATGACATTCCCACTAGGTCGAACTCTGCTGTGCCTGGGGTGTAACTAAAGTAGATGATATGGCAGTATTCTCGACTAAATGATCACGTTTTCGCCGCATGATAGGCGTCGTTTAATTTAGGGGCTTGGTTATCTCAGGGTCTTGTGGGGTTTCTCCTTTCTTATCACTAATCATGATTATCACCCAGTCTTGCATTATTGGTGAAAAAAGTTTTGGGCTTAAGTTTAATATTATTATAAGTTTTTTTTAATAACGAAAATTCAAAATAGCTATAATTTCCATATAAAATCATTGATAATTTACAGTCATCTTATTTTTTAATTTTGTAAACTCTTTACACAACTGTACTTTAAAAGCTTATAGACCTATCTTATCTTTTGATAGTCGCTTAAAAAGGGGCTCGTCTTAGTTTCCAGAGATAAGATTTAAATTTTGTTACGACATTTCACGTTGTTCGATTGCGTATAACATTTCATGACCAGCGAGCCATTAGAGATTTCAAATATATAGAGTAATCGATTCAGGAACAGAGATTTCGAATAAATAGAATGATCAGTTTATTTTGATTTTAGATAAAGTTATAAGTATTTTGGACAAAATTATATAAAACAGTTTATAAAATTTAAGTATATTTATACCCTAAATATCGGAAATATGGAACTAGGAATGCAGGATTAGTGGACAATAGTATATAGTGTCCAAGTTTATTGGAAACCAAGCATCATCATCATCCAAAAGTGTAACTCATAGAGCTGTTTGGTTCCTTATCAACCGGAATGCAATGGAATACGAAAAGTGCAATGAATGCAGATGCCAGGGACTGATAGGAGACGCCTCGGGACTGGCACTCGGTATCAGTATCATGGCGTTAGTAGCTGAACGGACACGAGACCGCGAGACCGCGAGAGACTTGAATCGAAAGCAGAAAATAGCATTCAATACTTACTTAATACTTACAATGCAGAGCCAGACGAATCTGAACTGGGGCATTGCAGCGGCGGGCAGGATAACGCAGGACTTTGTCACCGCCCTGGGAACGGTGGAGAAGTCCCGCCATGTGGTGGTCGCTGTGGCCGATGTGGATGGCCAGCGGGCTCAGGAGTTCGCCCAGAGGAACCAGATCCCCAGACACTACGATGGATTCGATTCCTTGGCTCTGGATCGCGAGGTGGATGTGGTATATGTGGGCACCCTGAATCCATTTCACTATGCCGTCGTCCATCTGATGTTGGCCCGCGGTAAAAATGTCCTGTGCGAAACACCAATGTGCCTGGGTTTGGAACAGGCCAAGGAGTTGTATGCTTTGGCAGAGCAACGTGGAGTATTCCTAATGGAGGGTAAGAATAAATATATGAGTATTGAATTCAAAATGTTATATTTCATGTTTTAATTAAAAATAAAATCAAAGTATCAAATACAATGCATGCTTAATTTCATGACTTAATATTGAGATAATTTAATTATTAAGAAATATAAAAGATTTAAAATGTGTCTTATTTGTTTTAAATGCAGTGTATTTAATTTAAATTACATTTTATGATACAAAAATATATTCCGAAAATAGACAAAGTAAATTTTTAAAACAAATTAAAATTTCCATAGCGAAAATAACTGAAAATCAAAGTGAAACATATTTAAATTGTATAAGAAATACTACATTTTATGACATAAAAATCTATTTCGAAAATAGTCAAAAATGAATTTGAAAATAAAGTTAACATTTCCATATTATAAATATGAAATCAGAGTAAAAAATATTTAATTAAGTATGATTGGCTAGTATAATTTTTGACTATGATCGAATTTCAGGCATGTGGTCACGTTTTTTCCCCAGCTACGACCGTTTGAGGGAACTGCTGAACAACGATGTCATTGGAGAGGTGACCCAGGTGAAGATCCAACATGGTTTCCGTTTGGCCCACATGGAGCGCGTGTGCAATCGCTCCCTGGGAGGCTCCATCCTCATGGATCTAGGCATCTATGCCCTGCAACTGGGCCAGTTTGTTTTCGGTGCTTCGCCCGTCAAAATCTTGCCAAGCGGAACGCAATTGAACAAGGATCGGGTGGATGTGCAGGGTGAGTTCATGCTGGACTATGGAGATGGACGGAGATTGGTGGCTTTGGTCACGGGACTGGAGAACCTGGAGAACGATGCCGTCATCACGGGCACCAAAGGCGAGATTAAGGTGAGCGCGCTTATCGCCATGCTTCTCCGGATCTGACCTGTGGATCGGTGGAGATTGGCTGGACTATCAGTGCAGCAGTTTCAGCCACTCTTTGTACATCTTTGCAGCTGTCCAACTACTGGTGCTGCACTCTATTGAGCCGCTCTAATGGTCCTCCCGAATCCTGGCCTCTGCCGCAGGCCAAGTTTGATTTCCACTACACAAATACCTGCGGATTGAGGTACGAGGCGGAGGAAGTGCGTCGCTGCATAGAGAAACGTCTGCTGGAGAGTCCTAAATTCACGCACGCTGAAAGTCTGGAACTAATAGCCATTACCGACGAGATGCGACGACAGATTGGGGTCACCTACGATGTCTAGGCCTTAAGAAATAATAGAAAATATTAGTTTTAAATAAAAATTGGTAACTTAACTGTTTATTTTACTATTTCACCAGGAAATTAAATTGGTAGCCGTCTGCAAAAAGTGTTTCGAGATGTCTGACCTTAAAGTAAAATTAGAAAAACTTAATTGTAAATAAAAATGGGAAATTTAATTACAGGAGGGCAAAATAAGATCAACGATTAGGAAAAAAATAAGTACATTTATACTTACCTGGTAAGACAATTTAAATATTGCCATGGTTTTAGTGCTGTAAAAAAACAATAAGTTGAATGTTGTAAGTAAAAACATTATAAATTTCTTACCATAAACAATTTAAAACAAATAGTCCCTTATAAAAAAAAATCAATACATTCTTGCTATTTTGTATTCAATATTTATTTAAATAATTGCAATTATTTTTTCTTTTACGTTTTCATTTTTTCTGCCTTTGTCGTTATCAAGTTGCATATACATATTTCTAAACCGTACTGCATATTGTGGTTGCCTTTGTCTGTTTTTTTTTTCTTTCAGTTTGCTGCCGTTTGTTGTTCTTGGTTCATTAGGGCTAATACGCTAAATGTCAGAAATGAGGAACTTAGGAGCTAAATGAATACTTAAAAGCAGCTAAATCAAGGGGTAATTCTACCAAAGGCTTACACAATTCAATGGGTAGTTAGATTGGATTCATAACTAAATGCAAAGTACAAAATCAATTAACGCTCGATTTCTGTTAAGCTGGGTTAAATCAAATTTGACACACAGAATTTGTTGGGGAAATTTTAAGAGGCTCTCAGCTCATTAAATTCATAGGAGGTGCAAACACAGTCCTTCCATTATTTGTTCGTTTAAGATTACACAACAGAGCTAAAAAACAAATGAGCAAAAGGGAACTTGATTTTGCAATGGAAACATAGCTTAAGCAACAAAGTAACTAAATTACAGTATGCACTTAGGGACTAATTCGAATTTAACAATAAAATGATTTATACAAGGCGGTCCGAGCCCGATTCGTTGGCCCTCGCCGCTACTAAAGAGGTCTCCTGACATCGAGGAGTGACGCCAACGCTGTCCGTTTTGATTCCTGCCCCAGTTTAATCCGCCTGCCTGTCCTTGTTTTGCTCCTTTTCCAGCCACGCCCACCGCCGCCTTAAACGTAATGAAGTCTTTTGCTGTGTAAAATTGCTATAAAAACTATTCCCAGCTCTCTCTATGCTCCTCCTATTTCGATTTAAGGATGGGTCTTTTGTGCGCTCCGTACAATTCTGAAAAACTTCTTGGACTTTAAAAAAACAATTTCAATGAATTCGGAAGAACAGGCAAATTTCACTTGACTAAATGTTATTTACAAAATATTTTCATCATTTTGTTTACTAAAAACTGTTATAGAAATCTTTTTAAATAGACTACTTTTAAAACGGAGGAGTACATAAATATTTAACTTAAATAAAACTTGTATAATTCAAGGGAAAAATATAACAATTAAACAAGTATTTGTAATAAAAAGGAAATGTTCTCAATTTAAAAGTAAAATAAAAAATGATTAAAATGGGAAAGTTGTAAATAAATGAACTTAAATACAATTAGTGTAATTCAGGGGGGAATATAACAATGTAAAAAATATTTTCGTTTGGCTTAAGTTGTCTGGATTTTAATTGAAATGTTTTTATATACCGGTTTACTTTAAAAGTAAAAATTAAAAAAGGATTAAACAAAAATGTTAAGGTTACAGTCAAGTTTAATGTATCCAATTAAAATTCACTGAGAGTTTTCCAAGGTAGTAAACTGCACCTGATTCTCAAATCATTTAAGACCCCATAGACTGACCCATCCAAAACCGATTTGGTGGTGCATTCCCTGCTCTAGGTGGACTCGCCCAAGGCTTGTTGATGCTGTTGGTCCAGCGGCTGGCGAGGCTGTGGGGCAGATGGAGGAGCAGGAGGCAGGGCCAGCGTGGTCATGGGTGGCATGGGCAGCTTGCTCTGCACGACGGCAACAATGGGCGCTGGATTCACATGCGGCGGGGGCAACGCCTCGAAGTTCATACATCCACGCTGCTGGCCATCTTCCACAATGGGCGGTGTGTCGATGGAGTCGATGGTGGACGCACTGGACGAGCTTCTGGCTGCGCCGCTGAATCCCTCGGAGACGGCCACCAAGGCGGCGGTGGTGTTGCGATTGTGCTGCAGCAGATCGTTGATCTGCGAGAGGCGCGAGGAACTGGCGATCGGTGTGCTCAAACTGATAAACTCATTGGTGCTGGTCGCCGCGGAAGAGGTGGACGCGCCAGCGGCTGGCGAAGATGCTGCTGCGACCCCAACGACACCAACTGCACTGCCAACTAGCCGCGACGACGTGGTGGAGACAGCTATGGTCTGGTATGGAGCATTGCTGGAGGCGGTTGTGGTCGCATTTCCGTACGGCGGCACCGAGGGCACCGCACAGGAGCTAAAAGCACAGGAGCTGGTTGCTCCGGAAGCCACGGCGACGACGGGTGACGTCGAATGCTGCGGATAGGCGGTCGGATAGGAAGTGATCTAAATAAACAACAGAAACACATTTTATAAAATAGGTATTTATAGATAGATATTTACAGTAGCGGAAAGAAAGGTCGATATTTTCTTAAAAATCACTTTTCAATATACTGTAGTAAAAGATTTTATAAAAATTTTTAAAAATGACTAATGTAATCGGCACTTGTATTATGACTTTTATTTATTAAATTGGTCCGAGCCGATCACTGCTATAAATCTCCGTTCATCTGGACTTTGTATTGCAATACAAACCTTTTTAATATCCAATCTATTTTTAGACACAGAAAAAAAATTGGAATCTATTGTAAAAATGTTGTAAAAACTTAAGAAAATAACTATAAAACCACGTTTATCTGCACTTTGTATTGATATAAAAATATCATTGATAAAATTGATATAACCATAAAAAAAAATGTTTATCTATTTTAAATATGTTCAAGAATATATAAAAAAGTTATGTAGAAGCGGCTTGCAAATGATTTTTGATTGCTATTCCTATTAAGCCTAAAAACTACTATTATTCTGACCGCAGCTGTATAGGTAAAGCCGGCAGAGCTGCCTCACCTGTGTGCTGCCGTAGCTGAGCGACTGATATAGCTCTCCGTACGAGGGCGTGGCATTGGTGCCACTGGCAAAGAGACCCGAGTCCAGGCTGTCCAACTGGGCGTATCCCGCGTAGCTCTGGCTCTGCGCCTGCTGCTGCTGTTGCTGCTGCTGCTGTTGGGTGGCATTCATCTGACCAGGAGTGGGCGCCACCTGCTGCTGCTGCTGGTAGTAGCTCACACTGCTCTCGGGCGTGTAAGCTGGCGAGGCATAGCCGGAGCTGTAGTTGGATTGCGTTTGCAGGAAGTAGGCGGGTGCTGGTGTAGCCGCTCCCACCGGGGAGTAGCTGATGGTCTGCTGGGATGCCGGCACCTGTTGCGGTTGGAGATGGCCCACAGAGCCCTGTCGCTGCTCTAGATCCAATCGCATCACCGTGTGAATGTAATGAGTTCGCACCCTCGTCGGATTGAACTCCACCCGGCCGACTGTGTTGCCGCAGGCTTCACGAGTGCATCCGCATGGGAACATGGCGCGATCCACTTGACACTTAATACCCGCCTGGCTGCAGGCGCAGGTTTCCGGATCGCAAAACTCGCGGCAGGAGCAGCCGCAAACCTCCCTGGAGTTCCTAATGTCCCGGCACTCGCTCTTCTCGCTGGCATCGATCTTCCGCACGCCGGCTGCCTTCAGCAGGGCTCTCCTCTGCTTCGGCGTCACCGGCTGCAGGAAGCCATTGGAGCCGTCCTCCGCATCGGAACCACTGCCCTCGCTTAGGTAATCCTCCTCGGACTCTTCGCTATCATCGCTGCTGGAGCCGCGCGGCTGTAGCTCTTGGTTCTGGCTGCGATGTGCCCGCCTCAATTCCGCCGCATGCTCGGCCAGGGACATCGTCTTGAAGGCAATATGCCGGGCGCCCATGCCCAGGGTGCATCCGCCAGCCGTGGGCACGCAACTGAAGCCCTGTTGTCGTGGGAAATAGTAGACCTTGACCTCGTCAAAGTTTATGGAGCGCTTGGGTCGCTTTTGGGCGGTCAGCGGAGGAGCAGACATGTCGGGCACCAGATCTATAGCATCGCTTTCCGATTCCTCCAATCTTCGCTTGAGATTGGATCTGATGGGCTTGGGCTCCTGCTTCTCCGGGGCTGCTTCTGGCTCGGCCACTTTCTCCGCCGGAAGTTTCGGCAAGGCGGATGTTTCACTACCCAGTCCCGAATCAGAGCCACCATCTCTCAGTTCATCTTCCTTTCTTTTAATTGGCTTGGCGGGCTTCTGGGATTCCTCCCGATTGGTGGACGATGCCACCACTGCCGAACTGGTGGCCATTTCCGTTTCGTTGCTCAACTTTAGCCAGAGCAGCTCGCCGCTGGTGTCCACCTCCTCGTTTGTGGTGACCGACGAGGAGTCCAGAATATTGTCTATGGCCAGCGGGTCCTCGGACACGGCATCGGAGGCTATCGACGAGTTGAGTTCCGCATCGCTGAGTACGATAATCTCGTTGTTCGGATAGTTCTCCAGCTCGAGGAACTGCTCCTCCAGTTCGGTGTCCGCGGGACCTTGTGCGAAATCCGCCAGCTCATCGTCCAGCTGCTCCAGGGGCAAGGGTAAGGAGGCCATCGCCTTGGCCTTGGCCGCATGCACTTTGGTGGCATCGATTATGGAGGTCTTGATCAGCCTTTCGATGTCGTCCTCCTCGTCATCGTCGTCGTCCAATTGGGGCAGGACTTCCTGCGGCTGCTGCGGCTCCCCCATCGCCGCTCCATCCTCCTGATCCTGCTGCCCATCCTCCTGATCCTGATTCTTCTTTCTGTCGCCTTCGTCGTGGGCACTTATGCTGGCGGCGGCCTCCCTTTGACCGGTTGTCGTGTTTCCAGATGATGGGCTGAACATATTGGAGCCGCTCGCATTTTTTTGTATGTACGTAAATATCTTTTTGATAGGACTGAACATGCTATCCGTGTCGAGGTCCACGAAACTGGGCCCGAAAAGCACTTGGTCTTCCTAGATCTGCGAGTTACCTTTGGTCATCATCTGCAATTGAGTAGGGGAAATGGTTTTACACAATGTGGCAGGGGAAAGTACTTTGCAGGTAGCGAAAGATACTAGATCAGGTGTGTATATACAGTGAACACTCCGAATTATAAACATGTTATTAGAAAGGAAAAACTTTTGTTTTTATGCATAGATTAAATGCTAGTAATCCAAATAATAAGTTGTTTAGAAAATTATTGTACATATTTATGTACACATGTTAAATCGAGATAAATTGAACATTTTTCATGTAAGATCTTGTAACAAAAGCTTGGATTCAAATAACACCGGCGTAAATTTTTTTTTTTTAGAGAAGTAAATACTACTTTTTTACTTAAATACAAACTTGAAATGCTTAACAATATTAACGTGACTTTTATTTCACATCTTTATTTTAAAAACTTTATTAAAAATACCAAAATTGGTCATCATATAAAAATATCTTTTTTTCTGTGTACGTGTAATGGTTTAAACATACTGAGGAATCAATCTGTTAATTTTCACATATATTAAGTTAGCTATTTCTAGTATTCACTGTATTTGCTCAAGTGTGCGTGTGCCGAATCCTTTGAAATCCTGGATCCCCGAGAATTTCGCACACAACAAAAAGCACAACCGAAAAGTAGACACACCAAGAACTAAAATCAATATTGATTAGCTAAATTTTTGGGGGCCCACCTTTGCGGGTATATATCCGCTCTTAGACCACCGGAAGGACTTGCGAGATTGGCAAGTATTATCCTTTTTGGAATTTGCGTTGCAGCTGCGACAAAAAAAATGAGAGCGAGAGAAATGACGAAAGGCGCAACTGTGTGCGTGTGTGTGCGGGGCGCTGCGAGTGTGTGCGTGCAGGAGGCGGAGCAGGACGCGACTTTATTTTCAATATCTATCAAAACTTCGTTTTTTAGCACATAAACTTAATCGCTGCGCCCGTTTGCTAATTTCCAAATGGAAATCATCAAATAAATCCAATAGTTTTTGCACTTTTTCACCCTTTTCTCACTTTTTTCTCGCAATGTTATTACTTCCATTCAGTGTGACCGCGACGAGATCACTGAATTATACCAAAGGACTCTAGCAAATGTACCCAGAAATACCAAAAACCTACCTTACATATACCGACGAGGAAATCGATAAATGTTTAGTACGCTTTGGTTGGTTTATATAATAAAAAGTTAGTCTTGACCTTATACCTTTGCCTCGTTTATAACAGAAATCAGAGGCTGTATGACCGTTGCTTGCCTTGTTTATAACAGATTTATAAGGAAGTGTGACCGTTGTTTGACTAAAAGACAACATACTATCACGCATACGTAATTAGTGGAAAAGTTCGGAGGCGGTTTACAACCCAAAAAAAAAAACTTTCTTTCAATGTATTGAAATACTTGCTTAAATAATGAATTCAAAAAGCTAGCTTAATTAAATTAACTATAATAAGATCTTAAAGCTTTTGAAACTTCGAATTTGTTAGTGACGTCAGAGTGATAAGCCTAATATTCGTTCACACCACTTAAATATCGATCTAAATGCAGATAGGAATTTAAAATTGGTTTTAGTCCGTAGTAATAACATACTACATGATCTAAAATTTCACCGCAGCTTTCTACCTTCGGCATTCTCTAATTTTCGATCAGTTTTAGTATATTTCACAGAGTGCTTTGGTTTTTTCTAACGGACGTGGCGCGGTCACACATATAAAAATTGCAAGAAAGTTGTAAGTTAAGTTTACCAATAAACCACGCAAATTAAATTACCTAGCGCAGTGATAAAGACAACAATAACCAAATAAAGGCCAACAGAAAAACAGGAAAATCTACAACAACGCCCCGCAGCGGTGACGTCGCCCTGGAAATCGACAAAAACAAGAGTTGCAAAGAAACTCCGAGAGGCGAGTCGTCAGTCGCTATCTATCTCCCTCTGCGCTCGTTTCGTTTCGTTTTGTGGGGCTGTTTTGGGGCACACAATTATAGAAAAACGTAAATGCAAGTTTTGTGGTTGTAAGGCAAATAGCCTCGTTAAGAAGTGCGTAAATCGGCGGGTAGTCAAGTGCTTTTGCGTTGTTGCTTTCGCCACCCGTAATTAATTAAGAAAGTTGTGTAAAATTTTTTATTCTCCCTGTCCGCCATAATGCGAGTGTAAGAGCGAGCGCGATAGATGGCCCTGAATTTTTTGGGTGCGTTGCCCAAAAGAGCAGGCGCCAGAGCGAGACGGTCATAAGACCTGCTCCAAGTGCAGCGTGCACAGTGGGTCGCTAAGGTTAAAATAGTGCATGTTTCTCATTGTTGGGAGATAAAGAAAATGCAGGTGCACTTGGAATGGAATAAAGCTGATCGTTTCGGATCGGTCCCCATTATCATTCGATTTTTACGGGCTTTAACCGCCTGAATGGAGCGAAATTTGCCCTTCTTTGTTCAGCTTGTTTTGCGTCTTAATTATTAAGAGTGCGGGTGTCTGCGGGTGGATGTGTGTGTATTTATCTGCAATCCGTTCCTTATCGTACCAGTCTACAAAAACTTCCCCCTCCACTTTTCCTCTCCCATATTTTTGTTAAATCCAAAATGTAAACAAAATCGCGTCTTCTATTGCATCGCTTTTTTACATTTGTTTATTTATGTATTTTTCGCTTATTTTTTAATGGAGAGAAGTGTGATTGTCATACAATACATATTTACCTAGTGGTATGTAAATATATTGCTAATTGTGCTCTTTGCTTTTTTAAGCGTGCTGAGAAAAATGCTGAGAAAATTGCACTTGTTGACTTTTCCAGAGAGGCAATCTCACAGTCAAGGGCACACAAATAGGGCGGTCTTATTTATAGTGCGTGCTCCCATTGATCAAACTATGTATATAAAATGCCTTTTTTTGACGAGTTGCATACAAATTGTTGTCATATTTAATTTGTTTCCATACTGGAATATATTAAGATTATATTTAAAATGTAATACATTAAGCTTGTAAGCAGATTAAAATTTTATGTAAGAACTGCTTTTATTTTTGACACCTAATTGGTTGTCGATTGTTGTGACTGCGTGGTGTTGTTGTATGTATCGCTCTTATTCTCTCTTTTAATTCACTTGTAGTGGTTCGTTTGAATGACGCATCGTCAGCTGTTCTAAAAGAACCGTAATTTTCTGAACCCATCATTGAACGTTGTTTTTTATGTTATTGAATTTTCCGTAGACGGACGCAGTTCTATTGCTTAAGAAAAGCGCTAAAAAAACGTCTTTATAAGAGATAACTAAAATTATATATTTTCCGGTGAGTTATTTTCTCCCAGCTGCTTCGCATGAAAGACTTCCCATTAGGAATATTAGATTTAAAAGTGGCTTATTTTAATTGAGTTTAAGGTCCGGTTTTCTTGTGTGGATGCATTAAAATGCAAAATACGTCATTCGCTGGACAACAAAAAGTGATTGTAGGCAAAATTACTTTATCGCAAGTGAGAGAGCCGTTTTTATAAAGAGAACGAAATTTGCCGCTTAAGTATGTGTGTGTGACTGTGCACTTTGCTCCAAAGTCTCTGTAAAAAAACAACAATAGTGGGCGGAAAGGAGAGGGAGAAACAAACAATTGTTGACTGACTGCATATTTTGCTCTCTCTTCCCTCGTTAATTTAATAACGCCGCACAGCAACAAAAACTACATGTTTGTCACGCTTTTACTTTCTCCGCTTCTCTCCTTTAATTTATTTTGCATTGATTTTTATCACAGTTTCCGCCCTCATACTCTCCCACTCTTTTCGTTTAATTCTCTCCACAAAGTAAACAAGATTTGTGTAGAATTCCATCCCTCGATCGTTGTAGGTTTATCTCCTCTGTACAGTCTTCAATGTGTTAATTAATAACATCTGAAAGATCTAATATGCCAAACGTTTGTAAAAAAATATTTTACAAAGTTTAGATTTTCTGGAGAAAAAATTTAGGGATTTTGCCAATAATTTTGTATTTCTTTATTTTAAAGAATTTTATGTCGTGTTTTAATACCTTTAATCCCTTAACAACTATAACAAAAATGTTCAACAAAAAAATAATAATTGGCATTTAAGTCTGTTTGTAAATCAATAAAGTTTTGTAAATGCAATTCAAAAAGGTGTAATTTAATAAAACAAAATTCGAGATCGAAATCTCTAAAGACTTGCTCTCATTTCAGGAATAATCTGTGGCCAACGTGGCGTATGATTCATAAGAGTTCCACTGATAACAGATAGATTGTAAAAGCCACACAAGCTGAATAATTCGAGGCGTCCTGTACATATAATAACTATATACACAAAATCATTGTACATTTGTGAATAACCCGCCCTCGAAAAAGTTTTATCAGAAAATGTGTGCATTATCAATTTTGTAGTAGCCCAAAAGAGCAGTAATAAATATTTAGGGGTATTATACGATAACTTAGATATTCCATACCCAGACCGATAAGATTTTTATATTTTTATTTAACTGTAAACCGCTGGGGAAATGGGCAAAGACGGGAAAAAAACAATAATTGCGCCTAAACAACATTTTTAAGGTTTCCCATTTGTGTTTGCCAAAGTATTTTTAGTTGTTGCTGCATTTGTTTTTCCTCATGCAATTAACTATGTTTGTGTTTGTGAGTGTTTGAAGCTGACACGCACGCAATTTTCTAAAAACAGTACTTGACATTGGAAACCTAAGTTTGGATTTTGACTTTCTCAGAAAGTTAAATTTACTATCACATGGAATTATTATGTTGCTAAGTGGCACAAGTGATAATGATTTGTGATTTGGTTTGTAAAAAGTATTCAAAATTATGTCTTTTTATGCATAGGCAAGTTTTTATAGGGCGTATTGCTTTCAATTTCAATGGGATTTATCGATTACCATTAGCTTGCGCTCTTCTTTACTCTGTTTTCTGCTTCACTGATGGATGATGGCGGCCTTTTAATCATATTGTCGGACATATTGAATTAAACTTATTGGGCTTGTCGACAGCGTCATTAAACAAACGAAGGCGCCACTCTGCCCTCGTACGTTTTGTTATGTGAAACATGTTCAAAAGAGGCAGAATATAAACTCTGGAAAGGGAATACCTCCCAAAGTTTGGAATTTCCATTATTCTCTGTACAATCGTAGACCAATTGAAAAGTAGTTCTAATGATTTTTATTAAATAGTTTGTTTTGTATCCATTTGTTTTATAAATATATCACCTCTTTATAAAGGTTTAATTTATCTTTTTAATTAATTAATTTATCTTTTAGATTCCTCGTCAAAACACATCAGCAATTATTCCGCAAAGCTTACTTAGCAGAGGGAGCGAGATTTGCAGTAACCGTCCGTAGAACCAATCATCAGTTGCCATCTCAGAGGAGGAACACCGCAACCGATCCAATCCGAACCGATCATGGCAACCACACCACGGAGCGGCGGTGCCAGCGGCACTGGAGCGGCGCAGCGACCAAATGGCACCTCGCAGAACAAAAGTTGCCAATTCAAGCTGGTGCTCCTCGGCGAATCCGCCGTGGGCAAGTCATCCCTGGTGCTGCGCTTCGTCAAGGGACAGTTCCACGAGTACCAGGAGAGCACGATAGGTGCGGCCTTTTTGACACAGACCATTTGCATAGAGGACACCGTCGTTAAGTTCGAGATCTGGGACACGGCTGGCCAAGAGCGGTAATTGTCGGGGGATAAGCCATCAAACAGCTCGAATTTTATGACTGTTTGTAAACGTTGAAGCGCTGCAATGTCAGCATTTTTCCCAATATAAATATCGTTTATAATTGTCTTTGCGAGTAAATCAAAAGTCTTTATCATACTAAATCCTTTGGTGGTAAACCTAGAAAAATGTTTCTTTTTTTACTTAAAATTAATTTGAGCTGTATGAAGTAGAATTTATACCATACTTAACTATTTATAATTTACTGAAACACACCTTTATTTGTATTTACAGATACCACAGCTTAGCTCCCATGTATTATCGTGGAGCGCAGGCCGCTATCGTCGTCTATGATATACAGAATCAAGACAGTTTTCAGCGTGCAAAGACTTGGGTCAAGGAACTGCATAAACAAGTGAGTGTCATCATCGAGCCGACTTTTCCTTTTTTCCGCTCTTCCGCTTCACCATCAAGGTCAATGCTATCTCGTGCAGAGCGTTTTATTGTTGAATGAATCAAAATTCTCTTTGTTGTTGCTTTTTAAGGTCGCCCCAAGTGGGTGCATTGAACTTGATTCGGCATTTATTCACACCCCATTGCATTTATTTATTTATTTTTCTTGGCCAAGGGGAACTTTTATATGTAAATTGTAGAATGTATACCTTTAAACTGGTTGGGTGCTTAGAAAATGACTCTGATTAACAAGTTAAAATGAATAATCCTCTTTATTTCAGGCCTCACCAAACATTGTCATTGCGCTGGCCGGAAACAAGGCGGATCTGTCAAACATTCGCGTCGTGGAGTTCGATGAAGCGAAGCAATATGCCGAGGAGAACGGCTTGCTGTTCATGGAAACGTCCGCCAAGACGGGCATGAATGTAAACGACATCTTCTTGGCCATTGGTAGGCTATACAATAAGCCCGAAAGCAGACATGAAACTTTGCTAATTTCTTATTCCGAATTACAGCTAAGAAACTACCTAAGAACGATGGCGCCAACAATCAGGGAACCAGCATAAGGCCGAATGGGAACGAAACAAATCGACCGACGAACACCTGCTGCAAGTGATGTCCCTTTGTAGGTTAGTTTATCGCAGACAAACGATTTACTTCTTGCTAACTTACGTTTCGTTTTCGTTTTCTAGAAAATGAAATTTCCAACGAGAGATTTGAAAAGTTTATGCTGATAATTATAAATAAAAAAATTATTTAAAAATTTAACACAATCCGAAAGAAATACCTACAGTCGGCTCTCCCAGGGGACAGATAAATTGATTTGAGAGCCACAAAAAAAAAAAAAACAATAATGATAAAGACCGCATAATAATAATTATAAACTTAACAAGATGGAGTCCCCCTCCCCAACATAAACGAAAGTTGCAATTGATGAAAGTTAGTTATCAATCCCCACACCTCAGATTCATTTGACTCGATGTCTGTCCAAAAACTAAACTGACACACGTCCCCCCAATTGAGCTAAACTATCAGTATGATACCAACATAAACCATTTCAAATAACAACGCAAAATAATATAACTAGAGAAGAGAAAGCGCAGGATGTTTTTTTGCAGAGTTCATCGTGTCGTAGAAAGTTTGAAAATGTATTGTATAAAAAAGAAAAGAAAAAACCGGAAACCATCTAAGCGAGCAAAAAATATTTGTAAAGTTTACATTTCGTGTAAGTTTCTGAGCGAATTAAGTGAGGGGAAGATTCAGATTCCAGTTGCAGTTGTTCTCAGCAGCGTTCCAAATAAAACAAACAAACAAACAATACCACAAGGAGCAAAAGTTCAGGCCAGCGGCTGAAGATCCTCGCTCGCCTCGGTCTGTGGCAATGTGTGTGTCTCTCCGGCTCCAAAGCACGGATTCCGGATTCGGATTCGACTTCGGGTCGCCGTGGACACGTGTGATAGTTGCAATTTATATAAATTATATATACACATATGAAAAAAAAAAGAAAACAAAACCACAAAAAAAAAAAACAAATTATGCATAATTTAACTTTTTTTAATTTCGTCTTGCGTTGAACTATTTTTTCACATTCTAGCAACAATCGAAGATTTAATGCTACTATCTTTAAACATAAACATGAAAAGAGAAACTATCGTAAACCATAAAAATTAAACTTACATCTAGTATGCAATTAAGCCGAGGAAGTAAAGTGAATTCTTAAACATAAACCTTGAAATACTTTACCATAAATGCAAAAAGAAAACAAACGTAAATAAAACGAAACGAACAACACAATACCATAAACAATTTGTTTAAATCGTTCCACAAAACATCTATGATTTGATCTTCAATTGTATTGCAAGCGATCAAAAGCCGATCAAATCCGATGCTTCTTTCTTTCCAATTTATAATTTTTATGTTGTCTGTATGTATTTAAATTTAACATTTATAAATTATAATAAATGAAAACATCGTATATACTTATATATATATATACGAATCCGTATATATATAAAGTCATTCGATTTGAATCGAGAATGAGCCAGCATTCGTATTTAATTGGTTTTCATTTGGTTTTCACAGATCTTAATAAATACTTTACTTTTGAAAGTAAATTTATGGTTGGATTAAGGACTTGCCTTATCTGCCAAGTTCCTGTAGTAGGTATTTATAGCTAGTTGAGTTTCAAAGATAGTCATGATGGATGATGAATTATGAAATAGTCATCGAGTCTGACAGGGGAACTTTAAATTGTCATTATAGGATTCGTTTATTTAGTCAAGAGTCGAAACTCTTTCAAATCGGATCGGTCAAAGATGGAGCCTGACTTTTGTTTTGGAGTAGTTCTTTTAGGTAACCACAACGTTGGAAAATCATCGTTGCTGTCGTGCTATGTAAATGGAAAAGTTCCTGAAAAAATAAAACTCACCTCGGGAGTTGAGTTCCTTGTAAAAACTATTGCCGAACCCTGTGTAACTACCAAACTTAAAATATGGGATACTGCGGGCCATGAGCGGTGAGTATCAGTACGCAGTACTCAAACTATTAATGAATTAATATTTTTTGTAAATGATTTATCTCCATTGTAAAAATAATTCATGGTATTGCGGCTTTATGATGACTTTAAATTAATTTACGATTAATTTCAATTAGATTTAAGCATATAGTGCAAAGTCATTATACAAACCATGATGGTGCCCTGCTGGTATACGACATTCACGATCGAAAGAGCTACAGTGATGTGAAGAAATGGGCCGAGGAACTCAATGATTGGGTTTGACTTAAATCGGTCTGTTTGCTTTATAAAATTAAACGATTTCTATAATTTCTAGACACTGAAACCCAGGAAAGTTATAGCCTTAGTGGGCAACAAGGCTGATATATCCGAAAATAGAGTTGTGCCCTCCGAAGAGGCAGAAAAATATGCAGAACGAAACGGATTAATCTTCTGGGAAACATCGGCAACCACAAACTTGAATGTCAACAAGTGCTTTTTAGAAGTTGGTCAGTTAAATAGCGATTATTCACATGCTTTTAATAATTTGGGGAACTTTTTTCCAGCTATTGCTATAAGAAATGCGAAAAAATTACTTAAGCATAAAAGATCATCTTGGTATTTGTAATGTAAAAGAGTATAAAGAAAATCTTTTATTTTGTATTTAACATTAACATAAATAAAAATTGAATAATAGTCTGTACTTACATTTTTCTAAGAAGCGGATTCCCAAGAAAAAAATCATAAACAAAACAAATAAATAAAAGAAATGTTGGAGCATTCTCCCTGTGCCCATAATTAAAAAGGATTTATCTGTTAAGTTTATTAACCTTTTCTAATTCCCATTTGATTTCTTTTTATTTAAAATTATAGCTGATTAAGATGCCTCTCGAAATAAATACATACTTAAATTACTGTTTTTGGTTACAATTTTCATTTGGTTTCGTATTGTATAAGTATTGTATATATATTTTTGTTTGTTTGTATCTTTCTCGCTACTTGGTTTTCCATTTATAAGAATAATTATATTGTATGACTAGCATAGATTTTCCGTATGCGTCTTGACTTGCTGTTAGAATAGTCGAGTTCGATTTTGAGTTAATTTTTCAAGATAAATCATAGAGAGTACATGCTAACTTACTACAAGGCAACTAAATGGCTTCAACCAGGAGATTTTAATGCTATAGTAACGTACATTGATAACAGGGAGAAAAAACGACTTAACTAAATTAAATTTAAAAATAGAGCAACTTATAATGGCAGAATTTCGTTAAGGGCAGTTTTCGTAGGCAGTTGAGTGTTGAAATTCGGAGAAATAAGGTAGGTTTGGATCGAACATTTTTATTTTTTATTATCTAACACAAATGCTTACGATTGCATAACAAAAGGTTGGCTTAACAGAAACAACAGAATATACATACAGATAAGTTAAGATGCATTTTGGATCGTTTATCCATAATCGTTATTCCACTTGAAATATCACTTACGTAAGAGAAGTTTAAATCTGTATCTGGTATCGGTATTTTCTAGATTTAGATCCTAGTCTAAAATTTTGTCTTTCTTGCTTTTGGTATAGTTTTGATAAACCAGTTAATTTGTTGTTTGTTTCCACAGTTTAAGTCTAAACATTGTCTTTTTTTTGTTTTTCATTTATTTCTATAAAATTTACAAAATTACGTTCCATTTCTTGTCTTTTATTCGTCTGTCGTTTTTTTTTAAATCGATAGCTTTGCCCAAAAACTGTGTGTATATATTGATTCCGGGAGGAGGACTTCCCCCAATTTCCTATATAAACTCGCTTATCACTTAGCTTATAAGTAAGTTCTCTCTATATATCGCGTCGTCAATTAGCTCCTCAGAGAAAATTGCGAATCTTGAAAGTTCAAACTGAATGAAATTTTCTACAGATTCGTATTTCCGATTTTGCCTTTTGCTTTTGATTTCGTTTTCTATACAATAAGCGGCTCATCGCCGTGCAGATCACAGGATCCGATATTCTCGCCCTGGTACGTTGAGAAATCGCTGATAATCGCTGTGGGTTCGGCGCCGAACTGGATGTCCTGCAGGCAGCCCTTGAAAGGATCGAAGAACCGGCCCTTTGTGCGCCTGCTCACCGAGTCCGAATTGGGGAAGCCACCTGTTTCGGTTGAAAATAATCAAATAACACTCTTATCAATTCAAATTTCAATTTAAATAGTTGCCAGTGCTGGGTAAGGTATATTCTGCTGTTGACAGCACTCTTAAAAGAACCGCTAACAGCCCAATGTTAGGGTCAAAAATTTTAAGTTAGAACAAAAACTAATATTAATTTGTGCTAATTCAGAAATTAACAAATAATTTCTTTAAAATTCGTATTAGAAAGCAGATTATTTTATAATTACAATAGCAAGCATATGAATGAAAAATGTTTGTATGTTGTATGAAAAATGTTTATATTTTGCAGATGATTTATATTAACAGACTATCGTATCAACAGCTGTTTTAAACCATTGAGTTGGCAGTCCGGCTTAAACAATCGTCTTGCTTTCTCCCTCCCACTTTCAGTGTTAGTGTTAATTCGGCTTGCGACTTTTCAACAAGTGAACTAGTGTAAAGTATTAAGTAAAACTATGGCATTTGTTTATGTTTTTAAGTTAGCAAAAAGCGCGGAAAAGTGTTGTTTATAGTACTAACAAATTGATAACTGTATATAAGTGAATTAATCAGCGGTCAGAGCTTAATTTTACAGATTTTAAAATGTTAAGTGCTCTTGCTCAATGTTTATGTTTTTGTGAACATTTTAAATAAAATTAGGTTTTGTGTACATTATCAACAAAAAACATTTTGTAGAAAATAAAACTTATAAACGGTAAGCGCATTAAGTATACATTTAGCCATAATTATTTTGGAACATTTGAAATATTTTGGTGGCATTTAGTTAAAAGGTTAATAATATGTGTTATAAGGTCAAAATATTATTATTTTTGTATAGGTTACTATTTTTTCTCTTGAATATGACTATTGGTATGATCTTAAAAGATTTAAAAATTTTATAATATGTATATACTCTCCCTTTTCTATTAATATTTTTTTGTTCAAAAAGCCAACTTCACAAATATGGCATAAATATAAAAGTTCTTTAAAAGCTAATATAGGGTTTCATATAACATGTGTCGTATAGTTTTGAAACTCACCCAAGTAAAAGACATCCTCGTAGCTAATTGTTGGCTCCTTGGTGGCATTTTTGCGCCTGCCCGCTATAGTTGTTCTCGGTGTTGTCGAACCAAGAGGTGATCTTCCGCCTTCGGGCAATCTCTCCGTGAAGATCACCTCCCCGTCCAGCTGGAGTTCCAGCCTCGATCGGTCCAGCAGCACACTTGTCCAGTGCCAAGCGCCATCGGCTATGAAACCGCTGGCCGGGGCCCTCACCGTGTCGTTGGCACTTCCCAGCAGATTACTGGCCAACTTCAGGTGACCCGCCTCCAAGCCCAGTCCCAGGAACTTGCTCCTCTCGTGCTCGCTCCACAGGAGCAGTCCGTCCGGCTCGATGGTGGAGAAGTTCAGCGAAACTTGGATGGCTTCGCGGGGGCGGACATAGAGCGAGGGTCCCCGTCTCTTGTCTTTCATCGGAATTCGCGGCGGCGGCAAGATCAGGTAACTGTTGCCACGGAAGCTCGGCGTCGTCGGCTTGCTCATAGCTAGGAAAATCAGAAAAAAAATATTATACAAAAATCATATTATATGGCGGCGGTGGGGAAAAAACGGGGAGGCGGCACACACGACGATCGCTGCATTAAACATGTTGCATGCGATACATAATTAAATTACAGCATCAGCTTGCCGCTCCAGCTGCATTGTTCGTCTACTCGTCTTTTGTTTCGCTTTATGAATCTTCATCTTTAGGCCCTGATCTCGTTTATAGGCCTACCATCATTTGCCACTTAGACTTGCTTAATAATCTTTTTCTAATCTTACACGATATCTTCTCACTACTTTAAAACTATTACACGTGCCTCTAATAATATTAATATAATTTCAAAAATATATTTGATTCTTAAGACTGCTTTTTTAATTCAAATATTATTTAAATATATAAACATTATTCAAAATTATTTTAACCCTTTTTAAACAAAAAATATTTAAAAAGTTTTCGTAATATGTATTAAACGAAGTTATATAATTCAGTTCATTTATTTTTTCGTTTATTTATTATTTATTTTTTTTTCTTCCAATTTCACTTCTATCATTTGTCAGCATTTTTCTTTAACTTCACTAGCTTTCCAGTTTTTTTCTTGTTATGAATCATCTTTCAGAACCTGAACTCAACTCGAGGGAAATATTAATCTTTATTATCGTGTGGTTATAAATTTTCTCTACACTTCCTCTCACTTTTCTCTTCTATCTTTTTTCTTTATAAAGCATCTTGTCACACTTGTCTATCATTAGTTTGTATCTATACTTCGGGTTCTTCGCTTTCCCTATTTATTTTTCGAATTGTTCCCTTTATTTCTTATCTACCCTTTACCCTTCACCGACTTGCATTCAATCTTAACTTGATTTTGTGGCATGTTAATTTACAATTTGCTAATAAGTGAAAGGCAGACAGCTGAACCTCCACATATAACATCCGATAGATAAAGAAATAAGAAAATAAAACGCATCTGCCAATATCATATATATAATCAAAAAGCTTGTTTTGCAGATGCTTGATTGATGTTTCGCATGGTGTCATTATCATTTTGAATAATGCTGCATTTACGAGGGGTATTAAAAAACTGAATTTACTGATTGACTAGCTAAAAATATAAAAGTTTCTAGAACTGGAAAAATGTAAAGTTTCTAAGTTGAGTACTTGTTGAGTTCAACAAAAATTTACCAATTTATTTGAACAAATAATTAGCATTATTTAATTTTTAGCCAACATACACCTATGTGTAAAATTAATTAAATTGAGTTATTTTAAATTCAGCATAGCAAATTCCGGAACATTACAGCCAAGTTTGGTTGAATAAATTAAATTTTTAAATTTATTATTATTTGTTACTAAATATGGTTAAATTTATTACTGATTAATATAAAGGAATAGTCTACTATGCTTTAGCTATGTAAATTAGATCGAAAAAACGAGAGCATTCAACTTTGAGTCATGACAAGTTTTAATTATTCTCCGTTTCTATTAACATTCGGATTTATAGTTATTTTTTGTGGCCAGTTATTGCTTTTGTTGTGAATCACAGATCGCTAATTTCGGTGTTTTTTTTTTTTTGGACAACCAACTTCCTGACCCCGCTGTGCACTGAACCATCCAGAATCCAAATGCCGCCGTTAATGGTTATTTTCTGCTGCCGTCAATCTCTAATTATAATAATAATGTTGTTCTACTCTGCGGCTTCAAAACTTGTTTGTCCCGAAAACTCCGCAGAACAAAACTCACAAAAAGAGATCATAAACAATAAAATCATTTAAGCTTCTGTAGGAATTGCGAAAACAAACTTTTACTCGTGACACATTTTTGAGAATTGAACTTGAAGCAGTGCGAAGATTTATGAAACTTGTTTTTCTCGCCATTAATATGATTTATAGCTACTGTAACTAAACCTCGTTTTTGTTGAAAACTCACTGAATCATAAGCTGCACCCGATGATCATAAGGTTATTCACCTTTTTCGGTTACTTTGTAATTATTTTCGAAGCACTTACCAATTTCGCAGTAGAAGCCACCCCAGCCATTTGGACACGAACAGCGTCCACTTCTCAAACATCTGCCATTATTTTTGCAGGGAATGAGCTTGCAGGTCTCCGAATATTCGCAGCGATCTCCTTTTGCATATTCCGGGCAGATGCAGTGCGGCTGCAGCTTCTCATCTAGCCAACAATGTCCGCCGGATTCACAGGAATCGCCGCCACAGGCGGTGCCATCACAGTCTCGAATATTACGCGATTCTATTAAATAAATTTAAATTAATTCAGAAATGAATTTGATGAGACAATTTAGTCAATTAGTTATGAACTTATAAATATTATAAATCAAGAAGATATTTCTTATTAATTTTTTTTAAACATGTCACATTGTACATTAAAATATGTTTCTTTTAATTTGTGTTATGGGCCATTAAGTTTTAAAATTTAAAATTCATAATTGATCTTATATCCTTAAAGCTTATTTAATTGTAAAAAATGTATGTTAAATCATTGAATATAATTGCATAGATAGTTTGAGAAAATATAATATTCAATGAATATTTAAATTCATATCGATCATAAAGGGAAAAATATAGCGTAAAAGTATATATTTTTTTTTTTGCACCAAACACTTAGAGAGATTAAGATAACGCACCCACAATGTTGGTTTCGTTGAGCACAATGCGAGTTCCACTGACCACCAGTCCGCGGACACATCCTCTGAAGGGAATCGGGAATCCGGAGATGGCGTTGTGCGGCAGTTTGGATACATCCTTCAGTCCGCCAATGTAGAGCAGGGAGTCGGGTTCGACCAGCACCTCGGCGGATGGGGCCAAGGCCGATGAGGCACTGCCCTCCACCCACAATGTGAGCCATCTGCCCCGCTGCGCCATTTTGATCTTGTGCCACTCGCCGATGGCCAACATCCGCACACTCCGCACCACCGTCACATGGGTACTTGGGCCTGAGATCCTGAACTCCACCACACCACCTTGCAGCGATAGGGATACGAAGCCAATCTTCTTGTCCTGATTGTTGTTCAGGGTGCCAAAGTACAGAAGCAATCCTCTTTCCGAGAGCGGGCGCAATTGGAATTCGATAAAGAAGAACTGCACTCGGTGGTGCTCCTCGAAGGTTTTCGATCCCATCAAAGGAACTGGCGAGAAACTTCGCTGTTTTTCCACCTCATTCAGTAGTTTCATCACAAAATGGGTGCTGGGCGTGGTAATCGGTTTCGGGGGCATTAGCTTCTTTGTAAAGTTCCTGTAGCTGACCATTTGGGAGCGTTTGGCACCCAGTTTATCACCACCATCATATAAATATGGCCAACGAACCGCCAAGTAAGAACGTCTACCGGTTAGGGATACATCGCTCAGGGAACGGATTTCTAAGGGTTATAGTTGATAAAAAGTACAATTAAAATCACTACCAATAATTGTAAAGATAAAAATATCGCAATGAAAACATTTGTCATTCTATAACGATATTTTTACGTTTTACAAATATATTATTTAATTATTTAAAAACGTAACTTTACTTTTTGGAATATTTTTTGTTATGAGGATCACTTATACAATTTTTTTGATCATGTCCATTTAAAGTCAAATAAATCAGCTTTTGATTATATCTAACATCTTTTTATTTTTCCTAACAATTGATTAATTTTGTTTAAATTGGTTAAAAAAAATATATCTTTTCTTAATCATTATCAACATAATAAAATTCTATAGATATTTATCTGTAAAATGTTTAATCATTTGAAAATTGTTAAATTGAATAATATCGGACAACTTCTAAAATGTTGTTGACCAAGTCTATTAAATTATTTAAAACTACTGTAATTTGGTTTTGACTATTTACAAATTTATTTTATTTCCTTTAAAGAAGATTATTATTGTTTGCAATAAACAGGCTAATTCTTAATTTTAAATTTTGTTTGTACAACTTGAAAACATTTTTGTTTTTTCTTTTTTTTACTTATGGTATTCTAAAAACTTACCCTCCTCGCAGTTTTTGCCCGTTCGTCCCACAGGACAATCACACTCGTAGCCATTGACCAGTGGCACACAGGTGGCATCCTCGTAGCATTTATTGTTGAAGGAGTCGCAGGGATTCGTGGGCTGGGCACAGAGTGGACCATACCAGCCCTCCTGGCAGATGCAGCTAATTAGAACGAAAAATGAAAAATTAGTTTGCAATTAATATTATCCCGAAACTAGAGCTCACGTAAAGGTTGCTCCATGCTGCAGGCAGGCGCCATCGTGCTGGCAGGCGTGGCGGTGGCATTCCCTGGTGCCACATTGACCCACCCCGCGACCTCTGACCCCACGCGTCTCCTGCAGCGGCACCGTGACCTGTCCCGCCTTCAACTGCACATCGTAGATACATCCCTGGAATCCCGAGTGCAATGGCAGATCGTGCGGCAGCGTATTGAAGTTGGCTATCTCATGTCCTCCAAGATACAAAATGGGCAGCACATCCATGCGACTGCCACTGCCGGGCGACCGACCCGTAATATTGAACTTGCCGTCCACCGAAAGCCAAGCCTGTCGTCCAATGCGTCCCACTTTGATCTCGTAGGGAACTCGAGGCGCATCCAGCCGAAAATCAATGGGTTTCTGGGTGAATATCCGACGAGGTCCAGCTCCCAGGTTCCATGTGAGCATTATGTATCCCTGGATAAAGCTCACCGCCAGGTGATCGCTCTTCTCGTCGTGATAGCCCGACTGGCCGAAGAAGGCCAGCAGTGAGATCTGCGACATGGTTTGAGGCAGAATCTTGAAGCTCAGCTCCAGGGAATATTCGAGGGGTATGGGCACCGTGTAGGCCACAAACGAGGAGAGTCCATTGACACTGCCGGAAAAGGAGGGCAGGGCCACTTCCAGATCTTTAAAAAAATAATAAGACATTTAAAAGAAGTACTAAGGAAATTATTAAGTTAAAGAATTGAAACAGTACAATATAACCAACTAATTAGTTTACATATAGGAAACATTACATATAAGTTATTTGCTATAGCACTATTTTCCATTGGTTTTGAAAAATGTATAAATTATTAAATATCATTTAAATTTACTTGTTTCTTGATATTAAAAAAAAATCATATTTTATTTTCTTATGTAGATTAAGTTGTATTCATTCGATTAAGCGGGCGAAGAAAATATTTATGGTCTTTAATAATTTTCCATTTTCTCATTTCAGGTTTGGATACCAACATTTAACTGTAGCAGCATTTCAGTACCGGTAAGTTTAATATAACCTTTATAACTAATTTATAAACTAAATATTATAAGTTCTTAGGACTATTTATTCCTAAGAAATCTTTAAAATTAGTCTATAAGTACTTACTGTGTTCGCAGTAGTGGCCGTGTTTGCCCAGCGGACACAGGCAAAGGTAGCCGCTGCCCGGAAACTGTACGCAGGTTCCACCGTACTGGCACGGGTTGTCCTCGCACACGGATATCTCGCAGGTGGGTCCCATGTAGCCCGTGGGACACTTGCACTTCCACTTCTCCGCCTTCTCGCCGTTCTCGTCCAGATCGTTGGTCTCGATCTTGATGCAGGCGGCGCCATTGCGACAAGGACTCGATAGACAGGCTAAAGAGCCGCATTCCGTGATGCCAAAGCCATCCAAAGCATCCCTACACCGAAAAAATATTCAGTCAATTAAGTGGTGAATTTTTTTTACACACAATCTCCTATGATATATTTTTAAATATGTTGGAAATATAACTATATAACATATAAATTTATCCTCTTTCTTTGTGAAATGATAAACAATTTAATTACTAAACTTCCCATTGATTTTCTGAAACATTTTTTTCGCTGTGCAGATTTAAGACAGGGCGATGTGTTAGGTGTCGCAGCTAATTTCATGAACTTGGCTAATTCAACATGCCAATACCATGGACAGAGTGTCCTTTTCGCCATCCTTTGCGCCATTTGACAAACAGCCCAAAGCTGTCAGCGCTGTCGACACGGATGTGAAGGTCCCCTTCACCCCCTTCTCCCTCTTTTTCGACCTCCCCTTTTCCCCCGACCCTGTGCATTTGGGCCATCTGTTTGTGTTCGCGCTTTTATGAACGTTGCACACTGACGAATGGCTTCCGCATTCGCTGAAATCACCCCATTCCCCATCCCCATTCCCATTTCACCTCCTTTGAGATGTCCTTTTCATCGAGCTGGCTTTGCTGCATTTTCACTGGCAAAACTGCTAAGAGGCCATAATATATAAGCTTTTAGCATGGCTATTTCTTTTATGGTTAAGAAGTGCCTTTAATAAAGAAACTTGAAATCTACGGGAGCGGGGAATTCGCTTAGAGCTCCAGATGCATTCATAATAGTAAAAGTCTTGTTAACAACTTCAGCACTTGAAGCAGAAACTAGAAAGTTAAATGAATATTATTTCTACTTTATTTAATAAGAATTAAGAGTTGGCAAAAACAGAGCTTTTTTATATCTAATTTGATTACTGCACTTCTGTTTATTTTTACCACTCCCAGAGGACAGGCACATGCGTGGCCTTTAAGTATATATGGACTTTGGGTTAATTAGCAATATTTATTATATGTAGCCCCTCGGTCATTTTGCGTTTTATCTTCGCACGTAAGCAGAGTTAATTTTTCCATGTACCTTCGAGAAAAGTTCTTTACGTTCGGTGGCCGTATAAATCGGCCTTTACTGCAACTTCTCCAAAGGTTTTCACCACCTGCAACTTTGTGGGTCGTCATTTTGATGGTTTCGTTTTATTCCCGCCTTTTCTGCGGCGTTGCGCCTTTGGGTTTCCGGAAGAGTGTAAGCGGCATTACTATTTAAGAGGTGCCCCCGGCGGAGATATATTCTTTCACTCCCCCCACTCTATCGGCCCAAAAGAAGTCGTAACTTTTTGGGCGCTGTTCATTAGCCATGGTCCAGCGTTCGAAGCGCCCGGAGGGCCAAAAAAAAAATGGAGAGTGGGAATGGGCGTTAAGAAGGGGCACAGCGAGAAATATTCTTTATATTCTAACAAATTCGGAAAAATGTAATAGTCACCATTCCTAAATAAAAAGATAACTCTAAATTGTTGTTTTTTCCTGTTTTTTTTTTTAACTATAATATTTTTATTACCATTGTAATCTGAATTCTACTAATGGAGTGTAATATTTTATTTAAGTATGTGACTATTTTTAAAAACACTAAGGTTTCTGTCAACTATAGATAACGGACAAAGTATCAGAAATAACAGATTAGTGGCTGATTCTAAGAAATGTCTTTAAATTTATTAGTTTTGAACTATTAGTTATGAAAAATGTCCGAATAAGATATGTATTTATTTTGTAATGTACCCAAAAGACAAACTCACCCGAATATCTCGCGAGCCTGTCCGTTGATGCGCAGCGTATGGAGGCAGCCGGTGAAGCCGGTGCCACTCTGGGCCGGCGGCAATTCGATAATCAGTCCAATCGGCGCCTGGGGCGCTCCGCCCAGGTGCAGCCAGGTGTTCAGTATGACCTCGGGGGTGTGGAGGCGCGGGGGCAGGAGCTTCAGCCAGGTGGGCTGATCCCCGGACATGGCCAGCGTGTCGTTCACCAGCAGCGAGGCGTTGCAGTGTGTGTAATTCCGGCTGAAGTCCAATCTGCAAAAGGGAAAATTCGAGGCATTCCTTTAGCTCTTTTTCTGTTTACCTTCTACCTTTCACTTTAACATTTTCTTTTTTTTTTGATACTATAGTGCATGAAATATTTAATACGCAGAACTTTTCTTTTACGCGGGTGACACTCCCTGTATTCCCGACTTTTAGGAACGACCTTTGAGGGGAAATTCCCAACATGCCGATGCATGAAAATATTTATGACACCACAATCCACCAACCTGCGTTGCGATTTCCCGTATCCACCGAAAAAAAGGGTCCTGCCAGCCATCTGTTATATCCATGGCTACCTTTTGCCCTTTGACCTATCAACGTAGGCAACTTTTGCAGGACCCCCAACAATTATTTACAGTGGGTTAATAATTGTTAAACAATTTTTTAAAAAAATAAATCAATGTAAAGGTATTAAACTAGTCCAAGTTATATATACTTAATTATTTTATTAATTTAAGTTTCTTAACTTTTTTGACAAATCTATTTTTTCAATTTTCAATGCTTCTGCAATTAAACTTATAATTAAATTTCTGATAAGTTCTCAGCTATTGTGTCAAATCTCTCTTTTACTCATAATGCTTTTGCAATTATTTTATAATAATATAATAATAATAATGTTATTTAAACAAATCTAAAATCCCTTGAACTTGTATTTCCTCTATACGTTCTCCTCTATTAACCAGAAACATACTTTTACCCAATTTACAATTATAATTAATGTTAATTCACTCCGGACTCAAGCCACTGTCCCCTGGTCATATCCTTTTCCACTCCGTCCAACAATTGGCTGTTATGTCAATCGACTGTCAAATTTTTGTTTTGCTGCCCCGCGATGGTATGGAATTTTTTACCGCCCCTTTGATGTGACAGAGGTGAAAGCTCAGGTTGGAGTTACCCGGAGAATTTCCCCCTTTTCCGAAAGGGGCCACCAATTTTTATTGCCCCGCTTGGTCGAATGTCACCCCGCTTGGACTCATCTGCAGCATTTCTGATTTTATTTGTTGTCAGAAGAAGAGTTTTCTCTTTTTGTTTGGTTTTGGGGCTTGGAGCATCTGTTTGCAGATGGACGAACAGGGATTCATATCTTCGCGTTTATTGCATTTGAATGTAGACATTTTAATGCCAAAAAGCCAATGCAATAAATGACTGCAGACGGACACATATTTTATTGTTATTTTATGTAGGCAGGAAAAGCTGTAAAAAAGTTTCCCATATGCTGGCCAGATGGAAAAAGTTTTGTCTGATTGCATTTAGTTTTTACAACTTATGTAAATGCTTTTGACAGCGATTTTCCCTTTGTTTTCTTTAAATAAATTTGGCAGGAAAATCGAAAATAGTTTGGATACTTTTTGCTTTAGGCGTCTAGGATATTATCCATAATTTAAAGTGAGCAAAATTTATGCAATTTAAATTTCAAAGCCCATTAATGTAAGTCCCTTTTAAAAAGCCAAAATTAATTACCATTTCTAGTTCCATTAATGCTGCAAAACCAAAAATCCCAACTTCCTTTCAATGTTATTTAAAGTTCAATTAGCTACATTTGACTGAACAACAAATTAAATTAGCATTGTTTACATTCAAGGCTGTTCATTTTTCTTGGGCGTGAGGGGCGGTGGCAAATCCTTGAATATAATTTATTGACACGCCCAATTGAATGCTATTGAAAAGTTCTTGGCTGCGGAAACTGCCAAGTAAAGCAACTCATCCTAATTAATGAACTTAAGTCGAGAATTGTATTAGGCGAATTTTGCCATAATTAAAACGAAACTCCCGTCGAAAGCGGAAAGAAATGTGGTCGCAATTAGACTCGACTAACGGTAATTGTTATTGCTTTCTAATTACACTAATTGTGCGCAACACCAGTTCAATGAAGGCCCTTAACTAAAATGTCAATTGCGCCGGGCATTTGGGTCATTAGAGATTGGGAGAGGGATTCGCCCGCCCATGGTTAGATTTCCCAAAATGGGTTGGCCCACTATAGTTCATCGAAGGCCCGACATCGTCATCATCGTCATCGAATGGCCCCCGGGCGAAAAAGTCCTTTCTGCTCCCTCTGCTCGGGCGATTAAGCACGCAAGCCAAATAAAAATAGGCAACGAACATAAATTTGTTGCTCGTAAATCCACTTGCCAGACCAAAACACAAAAACAACACCCAGCAAAGCGAAAGAAGGAAAGTAATATAATATAAGTACACAGGGAAAAATTATAGCTACAAATTATTAAGAACATGGAATTAATAATTATTGAACATTAATTATTATTGAACATGTAATTAATAAAAAAATTTAAATCGCAAATAAACTCTTAATATCACTTAAATTTCGATATTACGTTTAATGAGAATTTTTTTAATAATCAAAACCAAAAAAATTCTTTATCTGTGTTTAAAGTAATAAAAATTACAATTGAATATTTACACCTGTGCTTCAAATCCTAAAAGAAATACTTATAAGCTAAATTTTGAAAGAAGCTTAAAGTATATTTTTACAAAAATATAAAAAGTTTGTTACACTTTTGCATTTAAAAGCATGCCAAAGCTAATGTTTTTTTCTCGTTTATACCTTGACAGTGTAACGCTCATGTTTAATGTCCTGATTTTTCGCAGTGCACATAAATATAGAACGAGAGGGCCCTTAACATCGGACATTGGATCGCCCCGAGCTGGGACCAAGTGCTAAAAAGTAAATTTGTGGTCGATTCGATAGTCGTAAAATGTGAATGCGTCCCCCTCGCTGCCTCTCACTTTCGCTCATTGTTCTCCCTTTGGTAAATTATTTATATGGGCAGCAGTCTCGCTCACTCTTTGTCCTACTTTTTGATATATATATTTATTTCTTAATGTCCTGTTTATGGCAACGTTTCGTCTATCCTTGATTCGCCATGGGAGCTCCATTTTCCCAGATTTGCCTGGCTCTCTCTCAGTACAGTTTTATTTGCCTAAAACAATTATTTGGTCATTTTCCATATGCGTTTAACCCATCAATTTGATGGCAATTTTTAGGTAATTGCTCACAGCTGAATTGTAAACAACCGATTTGCTGACAATTTGATGATGACTTTAAGTGATGGTCATTTGAATTTTGCAGGACACTTTAAAGTCCATTAAGTCAACACGTTGTAACACGTTGTAAAAACGGGAAAATGGTTAAGGGATTGATTTCAACTCTTCTTTTTCAATTTAACAATTATTTTCCTCATTTTTCCAGAATAGGCGATTTTTCATTCATTAATTTTTCAACTTTTTCATTAAATGTTCTAAAACTTTTAATGTTTCTAAATTTGTACGCCTTTTACCTTATACTTTCGCACATCTGATGCAAGCCATAACTAATTTAAACTTTATTTTCCCATTCTGGATATAATTCGCTGCGATAATGAAAATGTTTGAATAACTTTTAAATCAGTTTGCTCATTTTCCTTACATTTGCCAAGTGTTGGCTTTGGCCAGGAAATGTTTGTTAAACGATTAATTACGCACGAGTCCGCCCTCTCCCATTCCGTTGGCGAAAATGCTCGTTGTGAGCATAGAAAATGAGGTAAATTAAATTTTCAACCAAGGAAAAATAAAAGAAGAGGAGCCAGCAAGGAAAAATCTCCAACTAATTACGCATGGATGGCAAACGGATGCCCCGCAGGATTTAATGTCCAAGGAAATGGGCGAGTGGAAATGGTAAGTGGAAGGCCAGCGCAGAGGAGAAGCTAAAAAACTGCAATTTATTCTACACTTGAAGCATTATAATTTGTGGCCTCTGCGGACGAACGGAGGACGAGATGAGAATCCCGAGCGAGCCACGTTTAATGGGCAATGTCCTGGCCGTTTGACCGCCTAACCGCCTGGTCGCCTGCTCCCTGACCCTGACCCATATGCTGACCTCCACCTTGCCGCGTGCGCTTTTTAAAAAGTTAATTAACATGCCGACAGTCGTCGCCGTCCCTCTCAATCATCCGCAAGTTGAGGTTGGGTCACACTTGCGTACCTGCACAGGGAGAAATCGGCCTTAAATAGAATTCTGGAGCAAGAGTTTGCAATGCACAGACAAAAATATGAATAAGAAATGATACTCGTTCAGATAAAACTTCGTCTAGATACTTTTATCACACTATTATGTTCAAAAACGATTATTATGTTCAAACATGAATTTTTCGAGTTTCGACTATGTCTTTCTCCTTCTACCTCATGGTACTTTTAGTCGCCATTTTGAATTTTTTATCGTTTACGGTCTAAGAGAAGTGTGTTTGTGTGTTTTTCTGTGTAGTTAAAGCGTTGGTCAAATGTTTTAGTCATTTTATAAAATATTGAAATTTATGGTAATAAAAACCTTAATTTTTGTTGATAAACTCATGGAACATTGGTCCATAGCCTTTTACGAATTTTCCCCCCTGTGTATGTACCCGCGTAATTGCATTCCGTGGTCGACACTTTTCACTTACTCAGCTCGAATGGTAATTTCGTGGCCGGTGTTCACAGGCGTTTCCAGTTCGCTTAGCAGCATCGTCTGCAGTCCGCAGGAGAACTGGAACTGCATGAGTCCTTTCTGCAGGAACAGGGCCATGTAGTGACCCCCCTTGGTTCCCTGGGCCGCAGCCAGCATGATCAGTCCATTGGTGGCACGCGTTCGCACCTTCAGCTGGATGTGCATGGGCAGCACGGCGTCCAAGGACTCGTGCGCCCCGATGTCCTTGTAGATGCGGTGCGACACGTACGAGTCGCCAGAGAAAGCTGCGTTGCGGATGATGATTGGCAGCTCGCATAGAGGACCCTGCCGGTCAAAGCGACAAACGCACTGCAAAAAAATATAAAGAGAATAAATTAAAATACAACATTCTAGTTGTAACTCATTTCTAAAGTAACTCAGTTCAATCTCTGTTTATATCAAAAAAAATTATAAGTATTTAAAATTTTTGTTTCAATTCTTTTTCTAATAATCCCCATTTACTATAATTATAATTTAAATTTTAAAAATATTTGAAATTAAAAAATACGATAGCCCAAATAACCAATCGAAGCACCACAAAAGCAAAAAGCTGTATTATTGGTTCCGTGATAATTTATCTTACACTTTCAATGCACATATTTTCGAGTAGCTACAAAATATTTACAGCCCGAACTTCGCTCCAAAACTTATAGGAAAGTCGCACCAAAAAGCGGAGCAGAACTTGAACAATTTTAATTTAATTTTTGCCCACCCCTTTGCGATAGACGACGACTTCTGGTCGCCTTTCAATAAGAAGAGCACGTTCGAAAAATGCCAATAAATTGAAAAGTAATATGAATTAACTTTTTGGCTCTCCGCGGCATTGCCTTCGCCTTCGTCCTCGTCTTCGGCTTCCACTTCGACTTGTTCATTGTCCTGGTTTTAATAATTTATGCCGCACCAAGGGACACTTAAAGTGCAAGGAGAAAACTGCAACAGGCGACCCACGGAAAACCGGGGGGCTGGGAAAAGGGAAAAACCGGAAAAGACCACGCACAGGCACCAAAAACTTTTTCCCGATTTTTTTCCCTCCACCCCTAAAATTGAGCAAATTAAGAGTAAGAAAGTCGGGAAAGTAGGATGATGTAGGGGAAGTAGTGTAACAGTCACGTGGCAATGCCTTTGTGGGTGGTAAAATGACAACCTCTTAATGGGAAGTTTTTCATATGTTGCAAGGAGTAGCCTAAAAAATATAAGACACAAGTTATGGAAAACTTTCGTATACAACCTGTTCTTCAGGTTTTGTACTAATGTTTTAAATTACGGCTATGAATTATGCATACATTTATTGAAGACGTAATTACAACCATTACACAAGGTGAACTGACGGTCAAGAATTATACAGCTACTCCTAATTTATATATATAGAAGGCTGACACCAAGAGTTATTTGCTAATGTTTATATTAAAAAATATTAAGAACAGCTTTCGATTGATTAAACTAAAATTTTATGATTTACTTGTTTTGTTTTGGAATTGCAACAAATTTATGCTTCCAGCTAAGAATATTTTATAAAGTACAGACTTAATTGTGGCATAAATCTGTCAATCTGTAAAGACATTATTCAAGCTTTTACAACCCAACATGCGAAAGAACACCCCCGCTGTTTGGCGGAAACACAGAACCAGTGTTAAAGGCTTAAACTCTTTTTTACCACCCATTATTTTTCTCTTCATAACAAATTTCCGCTTTTCTTGTTTTTATTTCCACGCTTTGTTTGCCAGCAGAAAACATTAAAATCATGCTCCTGCTGGGAATATTTTTCATATCCATATACCGAGTTCAGTTCCGTTCTTCGCTTATATCCCTTTTTCATAGCATACTTTTCAGAGCCAACTCAATTTTAGCCTCTTTTTTTAATCGCGTGTGACCTTGAAATTATACTAAAAACTTTTTTTTTAGCTTGCTGCCAGCGCCTTCATAACAATTATTTGAAGTGTTTGCTAAAAGTTTATTCGCGAACTTTGTTTGCGTTTGCTCAACTTCGCTTTAGTGCCACTCTTGTTAGACAAGTGAAGCTGCGTTTGCGTTGCAAAAAGACGGAAAAATTCAGTATCGAGGCCACCAGTGGGCTGAATTTAGTTTTTCGCACAATTTTAGCCTACTCTGTTTGCTTGCTGCCTTTTTTTTGTTATTTGCCTCCACTCGCATATGCTTTGCTAACAGGCAACATTTTAATTAAAGCTTTTGACCTTGCGGCATTTGGCTGGCTCAAAATGAATGTTGGCCAAAAACAAAAAAGGCCAGGAAAAAAGTAAAATTATATGTAACGAAAATGAGCTAAGGGAATACATATGGCAGATTTAAGATTTAAATACTTGTGGCAGGGCGGAGCAAAATCGGAAATGAGTCTTTGCTGACTAGTGCAAATATGAATATTATTATTATGGCATTAAATTTAAATGTGTTAAAGCAATTTTAGTTGTTTGAATTAAAATTAGAATGTGCAAAATAATCGTTGAGCTTGCATACAAATTTTCGTGAATTTAACATTTATTTCAACAATATATAAACGTATCTATAATACTATTTTGAAACTATATGTGTATCCAATCATAAAACCATACAAATCCGTTTTAATTGATTTTAAATCATAAACTAAATTGAGTAGCTTGAAGCTTTAAAGTAATCATTGTGGCAACTCAAATATTTTGGTAAAGCTAAATAAAAATAACTCATAGCATAGTAAAAATAATTTAAACCACTCAATTTCAAGCGCCCACACCGGATTATTCACTCAGACTTCCTAGAATCTCTTGGTGGCCAAGCGTTTCCACTCTTTTTTTCCTATTTGCGCTTTATTGCGTTGGCCAGATGGAAATTAATTGTAACACGCCTTTGGAAATGTCAACAGGCAAATGCTTGGAATGGCCTGAATGACTGAAGTGCACTCTTCAAAAAGGACGATGAAAGTGGTGGAAAGGGGGGAAAAGCTTGGGGAAATGGGGAAATGGGGAAAAGAGGCTGTGGAGGACGCATTAAGTCAGGGAGACATGTGGCGGTGATGGAGGAGCCTAAAAGGCTCAACAAAGTTTTCATTAGTGGCATTGGCGGTGGCAAAAGCAACGCAATGCAGACAGTAGACACACTGAGCCTCAGGAAAATGGGGCGAGAAGGGGGGTGGAAAGAGGAAAATGGGGGGCCAGAAGCCAGGCAAACATTTTCCAAAACCAAAAACTCGGCGGGGTAGCACTTGAAATGTGCTTAATGCCACTTTACGAGTGACTTTCGCCGAGTGCGAGTGCCACTTTGCCTGCACTTGTCCCTGCCACGCCCCTATTTTCCACACTTTTTCACCTACCCCGCCCCCGCCCAAGCCACCGCATTTCCCAAACTTGCCTAACCAATATGACAGCTGACATATGTAAGTGTATGTCTGTCGCTCTGCCAGTCTGTTTTTTGTCTCTTTATACAAATGCAAAAGGCGAAATGGAAAGAGATGGCAAATCAAGCAGCACTGAGAAAAAATATTTTTTTAAGATTTATAAAAACCTGTTGCTATTATTTTCTTTGTAAGAAAATGAAATGAAAAAATTGATGTTTTATTAAATACTTTTTCTTCTTAATTTCAAGTATAAATTAAAAGCTGATTTTTGAAAATAAAAATTAATGTTTTGTTAAAAACTCTTTCTTTCTAGAGTAATCAATTTAAAGCTATTAATGCCAGGAATTATCATTTTAATCTGTTCCCTGTTAAATACTCATTTGTATACTTAATATATAATTATTTTCCTCAGCGTATGCCAATGGTGAATCTGCATATTAACAAAAGCCTTGAGTGTGTGTGAGCTGCCGTGAGTGTTTTCGCAGCTAGTTAAATTACTTGGCAACAATAAAGTGGCATTTGCTCTGTGAAATAATTTTCTCCGCACCTTTTCTCTATTTGCCACAGTTTTCTTGGGCTGCATTTGTGTGAGTGTGTGCAGGGTGAGTGTGTGTGTGTCACACAATAACAATTTCATCCCGCGGTGTTGTGTCACTCACTCAAGCGCTAAATTTATTATAAAAATTTAATTTTTTTCTTCTTGTAAGCATGTTGGCCACATGCGATGGCTTTTTAACCCCCTCACTTTCTTGTTCTTGTTTTCCACGGTTTTCCCAGGTTTTCCCCGTTTTTGTGTGTGTGGGTGCTTGTGATTCATAGGTACACTTTGGAGATCTATGTGCGCTGCAGCGAAAGTTTATAAATAAATTGCCAGTTGCTTTGTTAACTCATTAACTGGGTCTGAAGCATTAATTAGTTGCATTAGTGCTGCTAAACTTTTAGTGTCTAGGGTTTTTGGCTTAAAGTTTTTCAACAATGTTTTAGGAAATATATGAACTAAAGAAAAATGCTATGAATTTTTTCAAGACTTGGCTTAAGGACTACCCCACTTACCAGCTAATTTTAAAAATGTAATATTAATATTATTACGAAAACGGGCTACAAATAGATCTTTACCGGTTTAAATTTCAATCGATAATGACATGTTAATGGCTTTTAATATTTGGACAATACAACTAAGAATCATGACTCCTTGGTTTTCCGCTGCAATCTTAAAATAATTATCATCAATTATCCGGGTGGTAGTTGCCAATTTTCACTTTAGTGACTCACACGCTGGCCATCCTTTCCAACTTTGGTTGGAGCTTTTAAATAAGCCAAGCATTGTCAAGCCATATTGGCCTCACGTTTCGGTCGTAAAATACTGGAATTGCATGTGGTGCTACTAATTTGGCCAACGGTGAAGCCCTTGCTGACATATGAATGCCTATATATTTAATGGTTGTGGCCATCTAGATATTGCAACACACTCTGACCTTCATAGGGTAATGAATAATAAATGAGAAAAAGCCTGAGGGTGACAATTACATGGCCATTGGTGAGAATTTGTTAGACATGTGAATATTTTTATGACCTTCACAAATTCTATTTAATTGTATTGCCTCTAGCAGAGTTAAAAACAAATGAAAGGGCTTTATATATATATGTTTTAATAATGTATTCCAAAGAATATTGAAAACAGAATTTTAAACATCAATTTTCAGCAACTGAAATCATTTGGAATTCACTGAATCAGTACAACCCCGTATTATCAATTTCCTGCCAAAATTTCAACCCAAAAAAAAAAGCAGAACTAACATGCAATCATTTGTGAACAATTTTCCGGTTATTAGTAGACATTGGAAATTTGTTTCGTGCCTCTCTGGTAAATGTTCATATATGCTTGTTACGCTTAATGGCTTTCAGTTTGCCATCGAGGTACAAAATTCGATATTCCCTCCCTAGCTCGTTTGTATTTTTGAAGCGTTTTGCTACTCTTTATTTTTCGGGGTAAAATTACCACAAGTATTTTCATAAATAGTTGAATAGCCATACTTTGGCAGGCCTGCCATTGTTGGCTGTTAGTGTAACTAGAGCAACTAACTGGGGAAGGCTTTTGTGGTTTCGCTTGTCGAACATTTTGTCAGGCATTTTGCAGTTTGCTGTCTGATTTTTCACCTGAAATTTTGCCGTTTTTAATGCTTCTGTTCTATTTCCAAAGTTCTTAACTATTCATTTATAAGAGCAATTGGCATTTCTGAGAACTTTTAGCCAGACACAACGAAAATGTAAGATAAAATGGGAGCAGACCGTGCGGAAGTAGGTCGTTTGCGAAAGTTTTCACCGGAAATGAGCCTGAAAAAATATGTTTCAATTATTTTTTGATTTTCATTAAATTTACTTGCTATTGGCAGTCTTTTTGTAATCTGCAAGATTTTCATCAATTTTGTAATATTAATTACCGACTATTTTTAAAAATACGCTCAGTAAGCTATATATATATATTTTTTATAAAAATATATAAATATTTTGTATCCAACGATAGGAGCCTTTTAAAATTCCCAGTAACAAATTCTAACTATGTAACTTCCACTACTACCCAGAAATAAATTCCACCTAAAACAGGCAACTATTTCGATTATTTTACTGTCCGTTGGCCTAGCAACAATCTGCTCAGCAAATCTGCTTACAGGACCTGCTTACGTGATTATTTATGTATGAGTTGAGCTCACATCTGTGAACCTGTATCTGTATCTGCATCTCTATCAGTACGTGGGCAGCTGTGAGGTCCTTTCAGGTTGTCAATTTGCAAATTTAGTTGGCACCAGTGCATCGCTCGTTGAGTAGGTACTGCTAATGCCCTCGTTTGGCGAGTATCCTATTAAAGGGTTTGATTAAAGCCTCTCGGATTCCCTGAACAGTAAATTGCATTAACAGTGGCTCTGAATTCGAACCTAGCAACGGAGTTTCTGTCGTTATTATAAATTATAAAGTATTCAGCAGCTACTGGTTGCTTGGCTATGTTGTTGAGTCAATAAGTCGTCAATTTGTATACTCCTTCAGGATATGACATCTTTAAACTCAACTTAGGCAATTCCATTTATGAACATAAATATTATGTTTAAATTGTAAACATTTTGTTACATTTTCAGGGTATGAGTGTAGTCCATTCCCGTTTTACTTCCCAATTACTTTGACTATTTACCTATTGCCTAGGCAATGGCAGCTCTAGCTGGCATATTTAATGACTTATTAATGGTCAGGAGGTGGAATTGGAAACGGAGCCTGGAGGCGCACAACTCCAACACGGCCAATTAGCAACTCAATGGGGTTGAAAATTGTGAAGTTGACTGCTCACACACAATTCACTCCCTGGGAAGCCTCGTTTTACCTAGTTTTTGGTTGTTTTGGCATCGAACAAACAACTCGATTTCGTTAAGGTGCCAATGTGCTGGGGCGCCAATCGATTGACCTACTGCGTCTGGCTGCACTTTGGAAAAATACTTATATACTCTTTATATTTGTCGAGAATTTTCATATTTTCCTGAGGGAAATCGTTAATTATAAGACATAATATTTGTCAGAAATATTTAAAGGTCTTAATCAAATGTTTTAGGTATAGTTTAATCTATAGAATTTTACTTATTAGAGATCATAATCACAAAAATATTAAAACGTTTTGGCTGTACTTCCGTATATTAGAGTGTTTCTAATCAATGGGCTACTTACCCGCGATCCTTCGGATGTGGTTACGCAGGTGCCGCCATTGTAGCAGCCCAGTTTGATGCAGTCGACGTCGCCGGCCTTCTCCTCGGGCACTCCACCGGATCCCCTTCCGCCGGAGGAGACCGTGTTGCTGCCCTCCACCTCCTCGCTGCTCTCCGTTGCCGTTGGCTTCGTTTGGGCTGCAGTGGGCGGTCCTTCGGGGGTGGTGTAAGCATTTATGGCCGACGTGGGTGGCGGTAAAGTTTGTGCGGACTGCGTTGATGGGGGAGTGGGTGGTATGGTGGGTGGTATGGTGGGTGGCGGCAGGGTCACCGGTGGCAGAGTGGGTGGTGGAGCGGGTGGCAGAGTAGTTGGTGCCTCAGTGGGTGGCGGAGTAGGTGCAGGAGTAGTCGCCGGAGAAACAGGAGCTGCCGTGGTTCCAGGTGGTGTAATAGTTACAGGAACCACCACCACCACTGGCACCATCGTCGTCTCGGGCGGCACAAACGGTTCCACTGTGGTCACCAAAGAAGGTTCTTGTACTCCAACCAAGTCCTCCGTTTGCAGAGGATGTCCCGTAGTCATTTCCACTGGCAGTGGAGTGGTGACCTCGTCGAGATGATGGTGGTGGTGGTGGTGATGGTGGTCATCTTCTTCTAGGGGATGCCGAGTGGTTCCCTCTGGTTCGTGGTGATGATGGTGGTGATGATGATAGGTCGCTGGCAATCCAGTTGTGGTTATCAATGGTGCTATTGTGGCATTTGCATCCAATATGGTGACCACTATGTGGGGCGTGTGCGGTGTGGGTAACTCCACGGAAGAATCGTCTTCAGATGGAACAGTGGTGACCCCTACAGGTGGCTGCACAGTGGTGAATCTGCCGGCACTCGTTCGATGTGTGGTGATTAGCACTTCGGCTGGGTATTCGGTGAAGAAAGGAGCCGCCGTGGTGGGCACCTCCGTCCAAAGGTGGTGCGTTGAGGCAGTCGTTTCCACCACATCCAGCGGTGGCTCTGGGGCAAATGTGGGCCTGGGCACTGGCACGCTTTCCGGCGGCGTAGTGGGCGTGACATAGTCTATGGAGATGCTGGTCTCAATTGTGGTTACTCTCTGCACAAAAACGGGAGCTGGTGTGGTGACTATCTCCTCTGATTCCGAACTACTGCTGCTGCTGCTGCTGGATGAGGTGACCTCCACTTGTATGGTGATGCTGGGTGCTGCAGTGGGTCGCATGGTGGTGACCTCGTCGCTGCCACTTTCAGCACTCACTTCGAAATGCGGCACAGTTGTGTATTCCTCGGAGGTGACCACTTCACCTGAACTTTCTGCCGATGAAGTGGTCAGAGATTTTCCCGGCAGAGGTGGCAAAGTGGTATATATGCTTGGCGATTCCTCCGAAGAGCTAGAGGATCTGCTAACAGGCGGTCTAGCTGTGGTTCCTGGTACTATTTCCTCCTCCGTTTCCGATTCAGAAGATGGTGCGGGTTGAGGCTTGGGTTCAACATCTGGTTCTGGCTCAGGTTGTGCGGGAATAATTGTGGTTTGCTCCACGGATACGCTTTGGCTATCGCTTTCGGGTGGAGCCATAGTCGGTGTTTTGATCTCCACGGAAACTGCCTCCTCGGATGAGGATGATGAGGAGGACACGGCAGGAGTAACCAATATTTCCACAGGAGCAGTTGTGGTAACCACTACTATGTCCACCTCTTCGGATACCCTTGGCGGTACAGTGGTCTCTGGCGGAGTGACAGGCCTCACTGTGGGCGGCGCCATTGTGGATGTGGTGGTGGTCCTCCTGGGCGGAGCTTGTGTGACTGGTGCCGTGTAATTGCAGTCCAGAGACTCCTCGCCCACCATCAAGCACTCGCAGAGCATGCCAGTCAGCAGGGGCGGACATGAACACGAGAAGGTGTCCACTCCGTCGATGCAAACACCGCCGTTCATGCAACGTGGACCCAATTGGCACTCATCGTACTGGAACTCGCACTTTTCGCCATGATAGTCGGGGACACAGTAGCACGTGGGCACACCCTCCTCCATCAGACACAGGGCATTGTTCTGGCACGGATTGTCGGCACAAATGAGGATTTCCTCCTCGCAGTTGATGCCCGTGTATCCCATGGGACAGGCGCAGGCATAGGCCGCCAGTTTATCCACGCAGACGCCTCCGTTTTGGCACGGCGACGAGGCGCACTCGTTGATCTCCTCCTGGCAAATCCTGCCGTGCCAGCCCGCCGGACAATCGCAGGTGAACTCCAGTCCCGGACCCTCGATGCACTCACCGCCATGCTGGCAACGGGCTCCAGTTCCTGTTTAAAATAACATAATAGAATATTTGGCAAATTAAAATAACAACTTTTAATTGGTTATCAGAGCCGCTTGGAATATTTTATCTCTAAACTAGCTTATTTGCATAGCTGAATTAAATAAAAAAAAATTCAATTCAATTAGTTGCCAAGAATTTATTCTGCGATTTTCATCCAACCCTGAGTCCATGGTTAAAACGAAATCATTTAAAAATTAATGAATTTTTTGAAATTATTACTATACTTTGTATGTCTTTGCATTTAAAAATTATATGACGAAAATAGTGTTTCCCTCTTTTTGTAGCAGTTTAATATTTAAGGGCAATATTTGCAGCGTTTTCCACTAATTTCAGTTAATGCCTGCCGTATCTGCCAAACATATTTCTACCTTTTGACAACCTCGACCCTCTAGTTGTGGTCATTCATCACCCTGACTGCAACTCACCTGTCTCGCAGACGGCCACATCCAGTTCGCAGTGAGAGCCCAGATAACCGGGTTGGCAGGTGCATATGTAGCCATTGGTCCTGTCCCGACAAAGGCCGCCATTCTGGCAGGGATTCGACATGCATTCGTCCACATTCTCCTCGCAATTGGATCCTGCAACGAAGTTAAATGAAAGGATGTGAATACAAATAGCCTTACTTGTGTCTGGGGGTCAAAGGGCAACCCACTGTTAGTTTTGCATTTTAATTAAAGAAATATGTATATGTATTTGTATATGTATATGTATATCTGCAGGTCAAAGTTCTTTTGCAGACCACTTTATAGGAATGTATTTAATTTATTTATTTATGCCTGATATTGATATTGTTTTGAGGTTTAATTAGTTTTTGCCAGTTGCAATTAGCTTTTGACTTACTTCATCAAAGAATAATTGTTATAGCTTTGTGGTTTTAGTTTATGGATTTTAATTAAAATATTTTTTGTAAACTGTTTGAAAGAAACTGTTGGAAGTATAGGGTTGCAATTTTAATTAATAACTGAAGTAGAATCGAAATCAATTCCATTTCCCCCTCAGTAAGTTCTTTTACAGCCCGTAAATAACCTTTTCTTTCAATGGATTTGGTTTCACTTTGGTTCTGCGTCTGTAACAAGTGCGCACAATTGAAGTTCAATTGAATGACCTTTCATTATATTTGCCACTGGGAGTTTCTCTTTTTCCCCCCATCGATCCAATTCCTTTCAATCTATTTCGGTACGAAAAAGGAAATAAGAAAGTGGAAAGTTTTTGGTACAAGCGCATCAATGGCAATCAAAACAAACCCTACACAAGTGCTGATTTGGTTGCAAGCAATATAAACAATTCAAAAGGATATTTACACGCACACGTTGAGCTATATCCCTCCCACATACACTGGATACAAAGCACACATGCCAAAATCTGTAGCTGTCCTTCAAATTCTGTCCATGGAGTTGAAAACAGAAATGGGTAAAAACTAGTGGAAAAATGGAAACTTAGCCAATACTCTTTTGAAATCTTTATTTTTGTAGTGTTATTTATTTGTTGCTTTACAAATGTATCATATTTACGAAGTCTTTAAAATGCATGACCATTACTCAAAAGTTTTTTCAGTTTATAAATTTTGCATTTATTAAGCTGGTTGTTTAATTATTTGCCAATGACCACAAATTATAAATGATATATTAGCATATTTAAAGTAAGAAAAATATTTTTATAAATTTTTCATTTATAAATAATTAAAAACTAAACGATAATGATGTTCGTAGATAGCGAACTATGGGGTTTAAGCCTTTTTCAATGCTTGGTAGCTGAATATAATGAATTATAAACAAGAACTTCTTTTTTAAAGGTGCTTATAATTAATCATTTATGTATGTCAATTTTGAAAAAAAAAATGTTTGTAGAACAATGTTAAGAAAATAAAGAAAAGACACTTTTGCCATGTCATACGTTTATTCCCAATCGAAATGCTCAGTTTTCGGAATAGAGCAATCCTCACTGCTGGGGGTATCCAGTTTGACAGCCAACAATGGCAACAAATGCTTGGAAATACTTTTCAATTTTCTGGTCAACAACTTGCAGCGACGTTGACTTGGTCTCAGTGTTTTGCCAAAAGGCAGCAACTGTCAAGCAGACAGACAATCTTCGCCTGCGGAGATGGGCAAAACAGAGGGATGGGATGGGGAATCCCCCATTCTCGTTTCTGGTTCAATCTTTGCCAGCGCAACGCTGCGTATGAGTGATATTTTTTGGGCTGTATGTGTGTGTGTGCGAGCGCGCTCTCCTTGCAAATTTATTGCCAGCGAAATATTTTGTATGGCTGAAGTTTGAGAATTTATTTGCCCAGCATAGAAACGCCTTTTGGAGTTTGAGCCTTTGTTTTCGTTTCGCTGCCACCTTTTTCTTGGCAAACTCTTTTTGGCAACAAGTTGGCGAGAAATATGCTTAAAGTTTTTTCCGCCTGCACTTAACTAAAGTTTCTTTGCCTATCTTGTCTGGGCTGAAGAAAAAGTTTCACTCTCTCCCTTAAAAAACAAAAAAGGACACTTCAAAGTGTCGAAACAAAACGGAAATTCCCCTGCACTTTGGCCAAATTAATGCGCCAAAGAACAAAGAAATCTTTTTAATTTAAGACTGAAAATTGCATTCAAGTGGACTGCAATTGGGAAGGCGTAACAATTTATCACTTGAACTCATAAATTATACAAAATACATGCACTGAGGGGCAGAAAAAAGTTCTAAAATAGAATGGCAGCTGAAGAGCCCTCATAAAAGATAAATGTGCGTGTCTGGTCCTTCTGTCTGGTTTATAATGCAACAATAATGTAAGTCTATGCAAATGATGGGGAAAAGTGGGCAGTAGGTGGGAAGCTCTGAACATATATTAAATTTACATAAGCACTAAATCAACACGAAAAGGGGAACCGAATGCGAAGAAGGCAACTCAAAATCCTGGCGAGCACAGTACAGGATGTCAGTCGATGTCATTTGTTTGCCTTATGACGGGTTGGTATATATACATGCATGTATCTTACGACTTTTAGTTATACATTTGTATATCTGTATCTTTTGTGTGCTTTTGTGGATTTCAGCTCAGCTCCTGAATGTGTCTGCCTAGCAAATATAGTCGTTCGTATGCACATTTCGATTAAACTATGCGGTCTGTGTCCTTTGGTCTTGACTTCGAATTTATATTGCATACTTCTAGGCTGCTGGGGCTCAGATTGCATTTGCATTAAAATGCTCATTTGCAACTTAAGTTAAATTAATTTATTACTATTGCACACTTTTGGACCCAAAGGCTTCGGATGTGTTTCTCATTTCAGAGAGCTAATTATGCAGGTAATTCTCAAATTGCATGCAAATTCAAGTTGAATTTCAAACTTGACTTCTTTAAATCATATTTTGCTACTTTAAAAATTTCATAAAATACAAATTTCTGTATAATTATTTTAATAATAAGAACATACATACATTAAAGTTTTTTTATGTTGTCATAAATAAAACACACACTCCAATTTATTTTTCTTATTGAACATCATGTCTTTTCACCAAGGCACTTGCAATTATCATACTCTTTAATATCGTTTCTTGGATAAATTATTTGTTTGCTCCATGGGGCACATAAAAAACGAATTTTAATTTATCGTCTGCCCCAAACCCGATCTTCGATTGAGTAATGGATTTTCCAGCCAGACTGGCGCTTTCTCGTATTTCACTGCCATGGCGGAGCAACAGCTTCAATTTCCCCATTCTGACCATAAAGTGCCATCAAGTCGCTGCACATTTCAATTTGTTTATGGCCATCGCAGCGAGGCAATCGCATTTTGCTTTATGATTTCAATGGTGTGGGTCTACCAGAGGCCTTAAAATGCTACAAATATTTCAATTTGTTTTATGTATGTTGTAAAATGAAAGCACTTGTATGAAAAATGCAAATGCTACTAATTAAAGCTATTTTTAAATTTTTGTTCGCCATGTTTTGTTAATAATATTAACAGATGTGTTTTTTTTTGTACTCTTTGTAATTCAAAATATAAAAGCACCTAGTAAATTACTATAAATAAAATAATTTATTCATTTGATAAATGCGTATTGCAGTTGCTTCAAGCTTTTCTAAAAACTAATTTTATTGCTCATACGACATGTTGCCTCAGGAACCTTTTTCCCTCTATGTTTTTCACCCGATTTTGGTGCTCCACATGAAATGTCATATTACGCTCCAATTCATGCACAAATACAGGAAGTGGTCAAGCACACAGAAAGCACAGATAATACTGAGCAGGAAAACCCATCCCACTACCCCACCCCCCTTACGCACACTTTTTAACCCAAATTCACATCGTCTGGGTTTACCTTTTCTCAATGCATTCACGATGATTTCTCGTTTTTCTTGTTCACTGTTTTGGCTCCGTTTGTGGTTTCGTTGGAGCCTCGGTAATACTTTTTCTTAGGGCCCCGTGCTATGTGTGAAGTCGTTAAAGTGAAAATCGATTTCCATTCTGTTTCACCGTGTGCGTGGTTGGTAGGAGGGGGTGTGGGGAAAAAGAAAAGGGGTGGAAAATGGTGCCGAAGGGGGTTGGGGGAGGCATCGGTCATTTTTGTGGGCAGGAAAAATGCTTCACTCACTGCCGCAATCTACGAGGCATGTTTTATGAATGAATTTTTTCCGAATTGGACGCACAATTTTCCCTCTATCTTTGTTTTTTTGCTTTGTTAAATGGACGGGCTTTGGTTGTCCGGGTTTTCTCGGTTTTCATTGGGGAATTTGAAAATGAAAATAAAAAAGAGGCGTACATTTCTGACATTCTTCATGTCGATTGTTGGAATATTTGAAAGCGAAAAGAATAGGAAAAATAAACCATTAATCAAATTTTAAATGCCGGTAAAATATTGATAAAGTTTCGGCCTGGAATATATTCGAAATTGATAAATGTCGGCTTAGCGTTCAAGATTTCAGGAGCTACATGGCTATTAAAAACTTAACTAATCTTATCATAACTTTTCAAAATTGTGGTCAGTACTAAATAATATTTTAAATTGATTTTGCCATAAATATTTTTGTATGTTTTTATGAAGAGTATAAATCTGTCCAAACAGTTTTTTTATGGATTAAAACTCCATTTTAAACTTACCATTTCTCTTTAATTTGTTATTAATTGGTAACCACAATCAATATTCTGTAATTTTTTGTTTGATCAATGTTCTTTTTCGAGTATTTTATTTCACTTTTTACTTTTGTCTTGAATCCTGCCGCTTGCCATTTTTCTTTGTTGAAACTTTTTCCTGTCATGCTTCTTGTGCCGCCTCTTCATCGTTTTCTTGTTATATATTTCCTTTTTTTTGTTATTATTTGCTGCTGGCAGCGAACTGTAAACATTTGTGCAACAAGGTACGAACATTTGTTTTGGCTTCGGGTCACAATAAACATGGCCATTTCCCGCACCCGTCCCCTCGAGTCCTTGGGGCAGCTCGTCCTCTTCATTTTGCCCCACCAGTCGATGCACAAATTGAAATTTGAATTTTATCTGCACACATTTTGTGCTTCTTATTTGCTTGTTACCTTTTCCCAAGCAGGATATACATTGTGAGAAATGGAGAAAAGGGGCAACAAGCAGGGCGTGTATGCATTGGAAATCTGGCATCGTTTCAAAAGGTGCATGAGTTGAAAATATTGCACATTTCGTTTGCATTTTATGCTCGCATATTCGCACACTTTTCTGCAGTTTCCTCTGAAATCTTTGAATGAATGCATAAATGAACAAGTGAGTGCACAGAATGCTGCAAATGCAGTCAGTGTAACAAAGATCAGGATTCGGTTTAAATCATAATTAAGAGCAACATGGAATAAGGACAAAGAAAAGTAGAATTCAGTTTACAAGTCAAAAATTGATTGTGCTAACTAGCATCAATTATGGAATTTTGGAAATGTATTAAAGAAAATCTAATGGAATTTAAATTGAAAAGAGACTCTACCTTTGATGAAATTTCAATTCCCTACAGTTAATTGATGACACACATTGCAAGTAAAATAGTTACTTTTCCGAAATCATTTTCATTTCCCCCCGCCAAAGTAAGTTAATTTTCCCCAAAATTAAATCCATTTAATATATTGGTTTATTCATTTCAAATTCTTCAATTACCCAAGACTAAGAACAGTACTTAGCTTCTTCGAATTTAAGCCACGTCTCTTCCGTAATTTGTATGCGAAACTAATCCCAGCCAGAGCAATCTATTATCATTGGATTGGAGTATTGAATTGGGGGTTTTCGGGGGTTGGCCGGCATCCTTCGAATCTATTGCCGTAAATCGCTGCTTGCGACCTGCGACAGTGAGCAATGAAATGCACTTTCGGTTCATCTCCTGCCACCGATTCCGACTCCGATTCCGATTCCAACTGCGATTGCATAGATTCTGGGACACACCGCCTGCTGCTTTCAAATGCGATGGGGAAACTAATCACGGGATCCATTCACTCAGCCAGCCCCCAGCCGAAAACCCGACCAAATTCATGTCACTCGCAATGGTAGAACCCAGCAATTTCAATTCGCATATCTACACGTTAAAAACCGGTCGAATGTGTAAAAATCAAATAAAAAAAAAAAAAAAAGGGAGGAAATTCTGACATTCATGTCGATTATTGGAATATTTTAAACAAAAGGATTGACAAAATTGGCCAATAATCAAATTTTATCTGCCCGAAAATATTGATACAATTTTGGCATGGAAACAATTTAATGTAATAAACGTGGATATTGCGTTCAAGATTTTAAAAATTGAATGTCCTTATAGCGTTTATAGTGTAGTATAGAATATTAATCGGTAAGCTACAGTTAAAAATGGAATAATATGATGATTTTGCTATAAAGTTAGAAATGATTTCTATAAGTTTACAACTATTTAATATAAGTAATAAATCATTTGAGGACATTTTCATTGGAGTGTACTTCTGAAGTGAATTGCACTTGAATGTCTTGTGGTGCGCAATGTTGCTCATTCGATTGCTTAGTTTCCATTTATTTTTTGCAGCGAAAAATTCTCGACAATGAGAAGCACAGGAAATGAGAAAGCGTAGCTCATTTTCACGGTGAAAATGGTGGCACACTTTTACACCCACAAAATGGTTTTGGAAGTGTATGTGTATTAGCGCGTTTAATTAATTGCATTTTGCACAACATTTTCTTAGATTTTATTTTCCGATTTCCTTGCTATTGAATTTTCCAGAGAATTTCTTGGGCAACCATGTAAGGTTTTTCTAACGATTCTGTTGGCCACGTTGCGTAAAATTGGAAAGTATTGTGTGAGAAAGTTGAATTGGCAAATTTATGAACGAGAAAATCACTTTTTCTGATTCAACAAAGTGGGGGCAAAGTTTGCGTTTGATTAAAAATTTATAAACTTGTAAGACGTTAGCAATCACTCGTTTAATTAATAAACACGAACTTGTATTTTTGCAAAAGCATTCCTAAAGAATCTTTTACAAAACAAACAACAAACACTCAACACTTGAAAATTAATACAAAATATTTGAAATAAGACTTTTCCTACTTGAGTGTCATATAACTTATGAAGTTCATACAGAAAAGAATTGACAAGAAAAGTCTTTATTAATGCTCTGAATTTAAGTGGCATCAAGAACATTCTTTTAAAATGAAGGAAACATTTCTCTGAGCGGAAATTATTTTAAATAATAGGATTTAATGCTTTGAGAGTGCCTAATTGATGCATTCTATCAATTGATATTTAAACCAATTAAGCCTTTTTACCACAAAACAATTTAATCGCATCTGTTTGTGTGGGCAAATAAAAATCTTAATAGCATTCGATTACACGACTAATCCGGGGCCTGTGACAAAGCAAACAAAAATATCCCACCCACCTGCACACATGTGAAAAGTTCATCAAACTCTCGGGCTGACATTATAAAATCAATAAGGCCATGAATATTTTACGCTGCTGTCGCAAAACAACAACAGAAATGAGCAGCGAAACTAAGTCCCAAAGGACCATTGATTAGCCACCTCTGCGAAACGAGAAACAATTCGGTTCGAATTCTATTTATAAACACTGGTTCGTGTTTTCCGCTGGGTAATTGAAATAAAAAATGCATGTAAATCGCTGAGTCGTGTGATTGAAAACTGGTGGAATATACAACGGAGCAAATCAGTTTTTGCCGGGAATTAAAGTATGCGACTTTGATTAAAGGGTGCAGCGAAATCAGAAGGAAAAGAAACAAGCCAAATGAAGCCATGAATCGACGAATGAGCCAGCGACTGAGCAACCAGATGCTTGATTGAATGTATCTCCCCGACTACGTGAAAATGTGTGCAAATTGCCAAAGAGGGCGAAAGTGGAGCGAACAGGTGAACAGGTGCAAATTTATGCACACACACGCAGCAGCTCGCTCAAAACCCGCTGATGAAGCAGTCCTAAGAAAAGGACATGGTGCCCAGGAAAATTACGATAAAATATCAAGTGAGTGAGTGTAAAAAACAGACCGAAAACTGTTGCACGAAAAAAAAGGAAAGTCGCGGCACAAACTGCATTGCTGCAATTTGAATGCATTTCCATAAATATACCCTTATGGGTTGCAAAAACATGGTGAAATTTGTAGCCCTGCAATAACTAACCTTGGATATTTTTATAAGAGGTAGCTATGAGGTAAAAAAAAATATTTTTATACATGTTTTATGTTGTTTTTTTTAAGAAAACAATATATATACAATTTATTCAGTAATGAAATTAATAATTTTCTAATATATACATTTTTTACGGAAAACGAGATATATACAATTTAATCAGCAGTGAAATATAACATTATTGAGTTTCAATAGCATGAATGTTATGTATACTTTAGCTTACAAATATTTTGAGGTATTAATTTTTTTTTAAATAAATCAGAAAATAAAATCAATGCTATACCAAAAATACTATCTGTTTGATTGTTAACCATAATCATTTTATTAAAAATGTTATATTTAAATGAAATTGTATTTATCTGCACCTAAGTCATCATTTGCAGAGCATTTCCCCTTTGCTTTTGGCCACATTTGAAAGGAATCCTTTATTATTTTTTCATTGTTGATTTGCTGCATTTGCATGAATGTGAAATGCGAAATGCGAAATTTCAATGGTGAATAGGCCCAGGAAGACCTTCTTCCATCCTGCAGAGTTCCCCCTGCTCCGCCTCTATTGTTTTCGCAATGCAATGGATCTCAGCAGCGCTTTTCCCACCTCCTGCCCCATTTTCCTACACTTTTCCCACTTTGGCGGCTGCCATGATTGCATAAAGGCAGGGAGCCAAGGAGCAAAAGGACAAAGGATTGCCCATGCTTTGTTATTCGATTGCGGTTGTGTGGGTGTGCGTGGGGCTGTGTGTATGTGTGTGTGTGAGTTAGGAGAGCAAGGTTAAGCTGTTGGTGATTGCAGTTTACAGAGAGGATTGCAGCCTCTTGGAAAATGTACTCGTTAATGTCTTTATGCCAAGGATGATCTTGAAATTTAGCATAGAAAGTCTGAAGTAAACAAGATGTAAGACAAGATTTTTTAAGACTTCTAAGTAATAAGTTCATTTGTTAACATAAGTGAACTTTATAAGGAAGCGGTCTTATATCTAATATAATATAAATAAACATGTACTAAAAACTGAATTAATATTGCATTAAATATAATCGCTTTATAGAATTTCTTCAATACATCTTAACTAGCTGGTAATATAATATTTAATTGAATAATAAAATAATTTTTTCCTCCTAACCATAATACGTTTTTAAATTTTTCATTTTCAGCTGCTTCAGTATTTAGCCTGATTAAACCGGGTCAAATTAAATCCGATGTCAAAGAGCTAAAGTGGAACTAAGTGCGAAAACCCAATCAAAGCAACTATTTTAGTCCAATAAACCATTTTATACCCAAAGTCATAGAAGTCTGCACAAAGAGTTGGTAAGTGGAACTGCGAAATAACGATATACATGGCACCATAGTCCCTATTTACTGGTACTACTACTAGTATATCCCGCAAAACCACTTCAAAAGGGCACAAACATAAGCGCTAAAGCCAGCCAGCCGAAAAATAAATGGGGAGTGGGCCGCGGAAATATGCGAAATGCAAAGGGAGCTCAAAAAATTAATTAGAACGCTGCTGTCCCGCGCTGAAATTATCTTGTGGTCCCTTTTCTTTTGCATTTGCTGATGCTTTTATTAAGGGGGGTGGAGGTGGCCAAGGTGAAAGCTTTCCAAAACTCAATGAGCGGTTAAATAATGCCCCGAGGCGTCTGTCCATTTTCCCGCTTTTCCGGCCACCTTTTCAGAACTCTTTGCATCCGTTACTTTCGCTTTGTTTTGCCTTAGACTGCCATTCATAGACTGCATTTCATTCCGAAATTTTGCAGCATTTTTGCTGCATTTTTTTTCGTCCCATTTTCCCAGTTTATAGCTTTATTTCCGACATTTCGCGTGCTTTTGGCAAAAAAATCTATTTATTATATATGAGTGTGTATATAGAATATACAAATTTTTTGCGGCTGCCTTAGCACAAAACATATTTTGCTTTACTTTTTTATGCGCTGAATTTGTTATGCAATTTTTTGCGTTATTTACATTTGGGCTTGTCTTTTTTGTTCCGAGTCTGAAAGCAATTTGCAATGGAACCGTTTAGTTTGGTGGAAAAGCAGGGGACACGGGCTGGCAGTGCATAATTTTATTTGTTTTTGTGTTGATTTCATTTGCAGTGCTTATGCTTTGTGGGCCTTTGTTTGCCTGCGTTCGTTGCTCCGCTCTATTTATGTTAAATTAATGCAATTGTTTCGCTTGCGATAAAAGTTGTTCTACGATGAGGGTAAACTTGTTAAACGGGTCGTATGCGTGATGTAAATGGCGAGAAAGTATTTGTTTTCGATTTATGTTGGATTTTTTTAAGGAAATTGGGCTTTATCCCGAAATCTGACAGGCTTACTAGTTTTTATAGCCAAAATTGGTAACAAAAAAGGTTGAATTTATGGTCTATGATCATAAAGCAAATTAAATTATTCTTTTATAATTTTGATTATTGAAAGCTTTTTTATGTTCTTATTTTAAGTTGTGAAATGAATGAAAAATTAATTAAACAATAACGAGCATGTTCTAAAATATATAAACTTGTATAAAACTCTCTTAAAATCCATTTTGAATCCTTTTAAATCTTACATTCCTTTTAAATAAAAACACACATTCAATCAGCCACAATTCTCATCTCCATTATTTCAATTCGAATGCATTCAACCAGCCGGAAAACACATGTAACCCATGTTCCGGACTTAGTTTCTGTAATTTATTCCCCAGACTCTTTTGGCCAAAAGAGTCAGTCAATGACTTTGGTCTGTTTCAAAGTTTCCCCTTGGCCCATCTACATCATTTAGCCACCTCTCTTGGCCTGATTGTTCAGCTGGTGTTCCACTCGTTGAACTCATCAGGAAAGTTCCCGAACAAATTTGCTGCAATTTGTATTTCGGTTTTAGTCTGGCGTTGATACGACTACAAATACGAATATAGTACGTATTACACCTATATACGTTGGCTATAAATTTCACTAAATTTTATAAAGTCAACTTTTGTGCAGTGAAAGGGGTGGTGGCTGGTGCCAAAATAAAAAAAGAAAGGAAAGAAAATATATGGACGGACACTAAGTGCTTCTCACACGTACCATAAGTAAATGTGCTTATGTGTGTACGTAGAACGTACATGAGGCCAAAAGGATGAACATTAGATACATTCATGGTTAGACTTCCGTGCTTGGCCAACACAGATACACAGATACACGGATACTCGGATACTCGGATACTCGGGAAGATTGTACCACAACACACGTGGCAAGTGGCAAGTTAAGCACCCAGCATTGACTACCACAATAGACAACATTAAAGTTGGTTTGCCAGCTTTGGCTTTGCCATTTTCCCCCATTTCCCATTTTCCAATTCCACTTTTCCCGATTTCCCCCTCTAAGCCCTCCTCATTGCCTTCGTTTTAATGCCTTTGAAGATCTCTCAAAGCGTTTTTTCTCTCTCAGCTTTGATCATCTCACTTTGTCAAATGCCCTTTATATTCTGGCATTTGAGGTTGAGATTAGGTATATAAATTATAAAATACAAAATATATTTCCTAAATTTAGTAATTAATCAAGCACAAATATCACATCACACTTTTAGCTAATTTTTATACAGAGTGTCATATTTGATATTAATATTAAATAAAGAAACAAATAGCAAGCTTATAATACTTTAACTTTGTCCTAATAACTTTTAATATATTTTATAAAAATTCCTTTTATTTGAAAAGCGGTTTTTGGCTTTTGGGTATTAAAAACACTCCAGAAAAACCTTTCTCCCTACCAAATCAACTTCAATTTTAAGGGTATAAAGTGCTGCTGCACTTCAATGACTCACTATTTTCGTTTGCTTTTCTTTATATTATATTTGGATTCTTTTTTCCGCTTTTTTCTCTCCCAGGACGCTTTAGAAAGAAGAATAGACACATGTGAGCAAATGCCGGGGAAATAAGTAAAAACGAGCATTGTACGTTATATTTTTATTTCGCCCTTTTCTCGTACCGCGTAAATTTTACAAATACGTTTGGGGGCAAAAGGGGATTCCTGCGCGTCCTGGCAGGAATTCCTCTCTATTTACCGGAGCTGGGAGCTCGGTGCTTTTGGGCCGGGGGATCGAGGGATCGGGATCTGTCTCAGGCTCTCCACCAAGTGCAAACCAAGCGAGACTGAGTTTTTTATGTTGGCTTAATAAAAATACATTTCGCACGTGGAACGGAAGAGGAACTTCGCCCACTCAACTGGCTTGCCACTCCACTTTTACTGCATAACCCTTTTCCCCCCCGCATTTCTATTTGTCCAAGTGCACTGGAAACGAAGATAACAAAATTCAAAAATAAAATACTAGATTGTTCATTTATAAAGTAAGAGTAATGATTCTTAATTTGGGCCACAGAAAGTTATAAATAGTACAATATATATTATGTTATTTGTAAATAAACCACAAGTTAATGGATTTTCCTGAGAAAATTCCAAATATTTTCTATTACTATTGGTAAACTCAATAGATGCTTTTGTATTTGACGTTCTTTAACTAAATAAAATAGTAAATTTTAATTTACATATTTTTTATTAAAGTAAGGTAAGAAATAAATTAAAATCTTGAAAACTTAATTACTTACTTTTTATGAAATAGGATATAGGATTTATATTTATTGGCTTACGAAACAGAAAGTTTAATCTTCATTAACAATTTATTTTCTGTGCATGGGCTACGTTTTAGTTTCGTGTATTTTAGCTAGATGCTGCTGGCACCAAAAATAGACCGCATTCAGGCAACACCCACCCACATACACACCCACACCCACAAATAGAGAGCAGGGAGCACACTTACCAGAAAATCCTTCCGGACACGTACAATTGTAGTAGGCCACACCGTCCACACATGTCCCGCCGTTCTGACAGGGACTCGACCAGCATTCGTCCCAATTCGTTTGGCACTGGATCCCTGTGTAGCCATCAATGCAGTAACACGAATACGAGCTGTTGTTTTAGTTGTTTCAGTTGTTTCCATCGAGTTTTAGTGGGTGGGTCCGCAACGGTGTGTCAATGATGCATCAAACGTTGGTTAAAAAATAGCACGATACCGAAAAAGAATATAGGGAGAAACAGGAGTTAGAGAGACAGCGAACCAAATGCTTTGGATAAAAATAGTATCGCCAAATGGCAAAAAATGAGTAGAAAGGTGAGGGTAGATAACGGTATACTATAATGACAGTTTGCCGTAATTGAAGTGAAGGAAACAACGGAGATGGGCGTACACGGATAAATACAATGTGTACTCAGATATAAAGATCCCACATCAGAACTAAATAATGGCCACTTCTCAGAATTTATAAATAAAAATTATAATAATAAAGAAAATGTAGATAATATGTTTGGATTTTGACTATTAAGCAAACCCATCAGAAAATTAAAGAAAAATGTCAATATGCCAAGAAACTTTATTTGAGGGTTGTTGCTTCAGAAGTCATTATTTTATAAAGGTATGTAAGGTATCTATCTTTATATTTGATTGATTTTAATCATTTGCTTGCACTTTACAACCCTTTGTTTAAATTGACACGAATATTATTTTATATTTTTGAAATAATTCCACTTTCACTTAATTCAGCAAAAGTTTGATGTACTCATTTCCACTCTGGCATGCTCTTTTATGATGCAGCACTTTCCTGAATAAATTAAGACGACTTTCCAAGCTCAGATCTTCTGCATGCAGGCATAATGCACATACCCTACAGCCAAACAGCCGGCCAGTTGAGTGCTATAAACTTTGGGCCAGCCCAACATAACACTTGAGGAGTTGTGGAAATAAATATTTGGTAGACATTTGGGATTGGGATTGGGTTTTTCCATTTCCATTTCCGTTTCTATGTGTATTTCGGCAAACCGAATTGAAATTGAAACGGAAATGCAAAGAGCATAAAAACAAAAAAGAGTGTCAGGGGAACTGTGGTCGAGGAGTGTGTTAGTGATACCTGAGACCTGAGAAAACAGTGCAAACATGGCTAAAACTGCTGCTGCTGCTGCCTGGTAACCGGCTTAATTAAAGAAGTTTCTTTATCCGTGTAAATGGAATGGGGGATAAGTGACGTTGGCTTACTGTTGTCCTTTATAATGGATTACATTAGGATGCAGGAGAGGCTGACGAGTTCTCCCGGTGCACATGTCTGTTATGGGCTAAGCACAAGTATAAGCACCTAGACACACTCGTCCGTTGTTCGGTGTTCGGTGTTCTCGGCTCTTGTTTTCAGTTAACTGAAGCTGACTGAAGTCCCCGAGATTCTGGCTGATTATGGCCTTCGGTTGGACATTTTCACCCCGGGGACCGTTTGATTTGCTGCCTTCAGCCAGTAGCAATTGGGAAATGACTACATAATGGCATTGGACTTGTTATTTGCGGGCAGAATAACTGAGTAGCAGGCCATCAAGATATTGAAGAAAGTAGGAAATTAGGTGAATGATTTGAGAACTTAGCAATCATTTATGAAAGTGGTTTTCTATTTATAAATATTTTTTTTGGAAGCGCAATCAATGAAAATGATTGATGTATTTATTTGGTAAAGTAAATTATATCGAAACACTTTCTTATTAAGCATAATAAGATAAGTAGTTGCTTTGATAAATTTAAATTCTTCATTGTTCATATGGCAAGAATTTGTAAATAATAGTTAAGTATCCATTAACAAAACTCAATTGAGTGAAGTACTTTATTGGATTTGGCCACTTGCCAAACAAATCATATTCTTCCGCTCCCCTTTTATAGTCAATTTTATTGGAGGTTTTAGAGCGAACTCATAAAACAGTTAAGAGCGCGCTTATCTGGCGTAAAACCCCGGGTAAACCAATAAAATATCAATGTTCTTCGTAGCCAGTAAACTGCTCTACATTGTTTCCCCTTCTCCCGTCGACCGTCGACTGCAAAAGTTTAAGATGGTCGAAAACTATTCAGTTAATCCGTTTAAATCTCATGGCATCGTGTTAAATTTAATTGCAGCTATAAATTTCGCTTGCCAGCACATAAACTTTCACATCCATCCGACTTGGCCAGCCTGAGTTTTCCGCTTTTGGCAAGGGAAATGCAAGCGGCGGGAAAAGATTTCAAGCTTCTGGTTTTCGCATTTCGCATTTCGTATTTGACTTGCAGCTTTCCCAGCGAGCTATCGTAAAAAAATATCTTAACCGCTTTTCCCGTCAGTGGTGTTTGTTGATGCTGGATGGCTTGGGTTTTTGGGTGGGATTAGCGGTTGCATATATCGCGAAGTGAGCATAGAAAAATAAAATGGCAGTTACTTAGTAGTATAAATGGCGTCAAGGAGAAAAATTCTCAGTCGTCTTCTAACTTGTTTGCGCACTTGCTTTTGAGCCATATACAGTATATACATACGTATGTCTGTGGAGAAATCGTATGTTGGAATCGCTGACAGCTAAGCCTCAAAGTTTACCCCACTGAACGGTTGGAAGTGCAGCAATTTGGTGAGCTTCTCTGATTTGAATTTGAGATGAAATGAAGATTCGGGCGATATTTGCAATGAATTTGCATAGCATTGCTAGACTTAAGATATGTCTGACAAATCGTTAAAAGATGGAAATTATTGATTTAAAATTTGAGAAGTTCTTTGGCTAGAATAATAAGTGAAACAGAAATACCTAGAGTTTTGAAATAATTTTAAAAGGTGTCCAAAAGTATGCACCAAAAAAATGGAGCTTTCTCTTTCGTAATGTTCATATTAACCTTTCATACTTTAAATACACTGCATACTTTTAGACACCTTTATAAATAAATGCGAAACCCTTGAAACTTCGGAATTCAGTATTTTAATACTTGCATTGAGTAGTCATTTTTTTAATTGCCCGATTATCTACAAAAAATGTATTTAATTAAATTCCTTTCACTATGGAAACTGAGTTTTTCAACAAAATTTGAAATATTTTGCATATCCTTGCTGTACATTTTCTCCATTAAGAATGCACTTTGGCTGGTCGTCCAAGTTGATAATTTTCCAGCTGCTTGCAATTGAAACCCACTCAGCCCTTTTTTCTGCCCCATGGTTTTTCTCCCTTCTCATCTCAATGGCAGTGGCCGCAACTTAACCCCATTGAAACAGGCATGCATTAAAAAAGTGTAAAGGATGCGAGGCGGGTGGAGTTCAACCCCCTGAAACATGAGCAGAAAATAATATGGGAGGGCGAGGGTAAATTCATTTCCCTGCTAAGTGGCGGTATCAACATCGGAGCTGCCCTATATCTATATGGTGTGGGATCCTATATGCTATGGTACCAATGCATCAGAGTATGGCAACTGAAACTGAAGCTGGCTGCTCTCATGATGCTCAAGTGGCGCAAGTTTATTGCCACTCGAAATGTGTTGGACGGGTTTATTGGTTGCTGCCTGGCCGATAATAAGTTCAGACAAAGAAAAATGGGGAAAAACTGCCATTGGCATGCGCAAAAATCTCTAGCTCAAAACCGTTAAAATAAAAGAAATTAATAATTTTTGCGTTTTTAAAATCGTTGCTTAGTTGTACTTGATTAACCAAAATATATATCTTATTTAATATATATATTTTTTTGTTGGTGTATTAACAACGGTGATTTTTAAGATAAAGTGTTTTAATTTTTTACTTTGTAGTTACACTTGTTGATAGTCACAAAAGTTGTTTAACTATTCAATTTGTTGTATCAGTGTAAGAGAGGTGTTTTCAGCTGAACTCACCTGTTCAGACCATCGATGCAGACGCCGAACACACAGGGATTGCTGAGGCAGGCGAATCCCGCCTGGCTGCCGCCCACGAGGATGCCCAGGATCAGGGTGGGTAGCAGCAGACCCTTGGATAATATCCTTAAAGCCCGGCAAGGGTTTCGAACGGCTGTTGCTGCTGATTTGGCAGCAGTACTGGTTTCGGTATTGGTATTCGTGAGAATGATGCTGGTGGTGGCTGTTATCGTTGGTTTCTCTATGGTTGCTGTTGGCATCTTTAGCAGGTGGTTTCGTTGCATGTCTTTGGGGGTAACAGTGATGGTGGTGGCTCCATTGGCCGTCAGCGGTGTGGTTACTGCCCTGGAAACTGACCCATCCTCAACATCCTTGGGCTGCAACGATGTGGCACATCGTCGACCCATGTCGCGTCTAATTTGAGGCGAAATCGCCATTGTCGGCTTATCAAGCTGATGCACGTTGATCATACGCCCCGTGGCACGGGTGCGGGAAATCTTATTTTGATTGATAGTGCTACTACTACTGGTGCTACTGCTTCTGCTGGAGACTTGCTTCCACTTGGGTGTCCTTGTTGCTGCTGGTCGTCTATCCGCTTAAGTGCTTTATTAGTTCTCATTGTTTGCCCCACTGATTGTTTGCTGGCCCAGCGGTCCTTGAATGCAATCTGCGTCGCCTTCGCATCGCATCAGCATCAGCATCCTTGCAGCTCACAGTCCTTCGCAAATGCCGGACATTCTTGTTTATGATTTCTGTCCGTTTCTATCCGATATTTTCTATTTTTTCCTACTTTTTTCCTTGCTGCTTATTTTCAGTGCTTTTCGTTGGTATATTGTTGCTCTTCTCGTCGGTTCACATTGTTGCTGCCATTTCAATTCGCAATCTGTAAAAAAGTGCAGAGCGTAAAAAAAAACCATAAGTATTGTGGGATAATATTTGCGGCCACAATTGTTTTAAGTAGCGTAAAAAGCTTTGGATTTGTCGCTGCTAAAGTGGCAATTAAATAGTTGGGGAAGATTTTTGCACACACAATTGGTTAACAATTTCCATTTTTTTTTGTTTTATTTATTTAAGCGCAAAACTTCTATATTTTAATAAAATTAAATCTTGCTTTAAGCTCCGGTAACAATAATACGTGTTAAAAATAGCCATCACATTATTTCCTAGATTAAGGGATTAATTAAGTATTTAAGCAGATTCCAATTCAGTTCATAGATAACAAAATTATATTAACAGAAGCCTAAATACTAAAATAATTTCCTTTCTGAGCCGATTGCCAGTTTTCCTATTTATTGAAATAATTTTCAACAAAGCCCAAACTAAGTCCCCAAATAGCACATGATTTTGTGTGACAGTAGGAAAGCGTTTTACACATCTAATCCATAATGCCACCATGTGGCTTTCCATTTCATTTCGCTTCGTGTGATGGCCAGTTGTACACTACATTTTCCCATTACACATGTGTCAAAATAAACCCGAGAACTTGTGCGCATATCACACATATGTTGCATGGATTTTTGGTTAGTTCTGGTGCTTTTGGGTACTTAAATGTTTAGCGTTGGGAAAACGGAATGGAGAATGGTGAGTGTGTACAGTGAAAACAATATCTTAAATAATAGTTTAACTCTACCTTACCCTACAATATAAATATATTTTCTTTAAGCGCAGTTTTAGTTTATTAAAATTGATAACGTACGGAAAAACATGTTTCCAGTCACATGTGTTTTAGCTGCTAAAATGTTACCAACAATTCTGGTTTTATTTTCACTCTGGTAGAAAATAAATATTTTTTATGGCAGCCATAGAATTCTGTCAAGAGTGGACAAAAAAAATTATGAAAGACAGCTCTTGCGACAAGTTTAAAATTGAAACCAGCAACGTCAATTGCAGCAAGGCAAGGGACATTTGCCATGGCCACGGAAAACAGACCGGGACACTTGGACACAAAATAAGGGATCCGGATCAGGAGTAGAACTTGCAGCCAGACGCCTCATAACTCGACTGCATCATCAACATAAATTCGACTTTACTTGGCCAACGACCAAGCGACTGCAACTGTTTTTTATCATTTCCCTCGAGGGGTGGGGAGTTTTCTGACCATATTGTTTGAGCGGATGACTATATGGCCAACGTCAAGTCATAATGTTGAGATTATACGCAGCTAATACAGAGCGGAAAGGCAGTTTTGTCAGCTATCTTTGACTGGAAATTAGAGTCGTTAAACTAATCAATATTTTTATGGTGTACAATTTACAATGTACACTTTAAAAAATATTCTAAAATTAGAATGAATCTATATCTATTTAATTAATTAATAATGTTATAAACTAAAGATCCTTATCATCACAATATACAAATAACGATAGGATAACTGGAAATAAACTATGTATAATTTATTTAGTCAATAAAGAAAATTTGTAATTAAGGTAGTTATTTTATTTCTTATTCGATAGATTTTAAAACCCCTCTAGTTTTAGGTCAAATATTTGTTCAAGTGCATCTAGGTAGTTTAGGTTATTTTTAAGCCTGCGAGATTTTAAATCTTTTTTATATATTTTTTTTTTAATATTTGATTGATTGCAAGTAGTTTTTTGATTTAAAAACCCATAAGTTATAAAATCGCTTGTGTTGAAGGCCATGTATTTTTTTGGGTGCACATTTTGTGGTCAGGTTGACACCAGGCAATGGATCCTGATGACGCTGATGAGGCTCCTGTTGCCATTGTTGCAGCCATTTTCCCATCACCAGCCTGCATACTCAGGAGAACACAGAACAATACGGGGCGAGAGATGGAAAAAGCAGCACTATCCTGATAGAAAATGTGGAGTGAAGGTTTCGAGGGTGGTACAAGGATATCATCACATAGCTGATGACGGCAGGCGACAAGCGGCGTCGAATGAATTTAGCTTGTAAACACAGGCAGCATGAAATGCGCACGAATGACTGAAACTGGCCGGCAGCCAAGTGAACCAAGTGAACCAAGTGAACCAGCAGGTCCTGCAGAGCCAATCTCGAATTGCCGGAGAAGAAGCCTGAAGTTGTTCAAGTTACACAGAGACATTGCCGAGTGCAGAACTGAAACCCATCACTTAATTCCCCTTTCCATTCAACAACGAACAAACAAAATGTTGCCCATTTCAAGTTTACAAATAAGTTGAGAACTATAGCGAAATGCAATCGCAAAAAATGAATGATGTGTAGTACTTCCTATGTGGGCAATCTAGAATTTTAATTAACGAAAAAATAGTTTTGAATATAATGCAACTTAAAATTGTTTACCATTATTGGTAATCATAAAAAATATTTAAGCTTACTTTAAAAAATAGAAAAATGTTGATAAAATTTAAACTAATAAATCACATTTTCCTTCAAAAAAAATATATTCTTGTTCAAATGTTATTGAAAAACTAACTATAATTATAACTACCTTTTCCAAAATTTAAAATTTCGGATTAAAAACCTTGTTAAAGATTGATAGGATTTCTCAAACACCTTCTTACATTTTCCTTAATAAATTATATATATTTTCAATTGGTTTTTGCAATCGTTAAGCAGCCAATGTCATCTAATCGGTGGCACCTGAATACTTGGCCCATTTTGCGCTGCAAAAATGTTAACTAGCGAAGGGAGGGACATAAAACCGAAACGTTTTCATTCGGAAAATTCACGTCGTCCACCTGAATGAAAGCCAGGCCAAAACTCAGATCCGCAGCCTAGACGTTTCTGGTTTTTATGTTGCAACTGCTGTTGCTGCCGTTTCTGTTGGCTTTTTATGGCATTTGCAGCAACTGCAACTTTGTGAAAATCCCAGGAGCTAGAGATCTGGGGAAATGGGGTTCGGGGATTTGCCATTAACGTGGGCCATTTGCCAACTGTGTGTGTGTGTCTGTGTGTGTTGACATAATGTTGCAGGTTTGCAGGACGAGATGGAAGACGTTGTCGCCTGTCCTTCTAGAATTTGATGACATTAATGAATGGGCCTTGTTAGGCAATGTGTAATCTGGTGGGGTAATTATAAGCATGTTTTCCACAGCTTCGTTAGTCGGTGATAAGAAACAGTGTGACAGGTTTTTTGGGATAATAGGCAACAGGAAGTTCCTGAGATAAATTACCAAATACTGATAGTGATGAATTGTGGTCCAGATTACAAGGAGGACTTGGTCTACAAATAACTAAGCTACTTAAAGGGTAAAATAAGCATTGATAATAATTGGTTTTGTACTTTCATATGATTTTGTGATGATGATTTATTGGATAACGCCAAGATTAGAGCATTAATACTTGCTGAAATCAAACCTTATTTTGTTTGTTTCCCTGTTTTTATTAATCTGATTAAGTTTTAATTATTTTTTTATTTTTAAACATACATTCTTTTTATAAAGAATTTACCTATTATGTTCCTTATGGACTTGAACTTAAACTTTTTACTATAAAAAATTGTATACCACTTTCTTGGTTGACATATTGTAACCTCCCTATTATTTTCCTGCTTCTATAAAATACAATGTTAAACATTTCTTAGTGTCCCTGCTCTTGTTTATTTGCTATTAGCAGACCAAAGAAATTTGTTCGCATAAATTTAATTAAATTGTGCACATTTTTTTCCGGCTTGAGTTGTGCTATTTATGCAAAGCGCTTTCGAGTAAACAACGGCTGGCGTAAAAAACTTGAAATATGCTGAGACAACACAAGTGCTTCTTCCCTCCTCACTCATATTGTTAATTAATTCTGACAAATATTGTGCAAATATTTGGAAAAAGTCTGCTCGCCGAAAAGGGAAGCGTTTTTCGGGGTAGGGAGTGGAGTTTATAATAAGGCAGGCAATATGCCAAGCCATTGAGCCAGGATCTTCTTGTAAATTTAACTGTTTGTGCTCGCTTGTTTCTGTTGTCCTGTAATACAGAGCGTGTGAAAATCGATGGCCAAAAATAAACAGAACAATGAACGCACACGAACGCAGAGTTACACACATGTTAAAATAATTAACATGTCTTTGACAAGACATATGAGTAAACACATTCCACTCTCGCCCTCTCTTTGTTAATAAAACACGCCATGTTTGCAGTGCACAAATACAATTACCTTTAAGTACCCCCCACCTTACCCCCAATTTCCCCCGTTTCCATCCCCTTTTGGCAAACACGTGCTCGGCCAGCTACCAGTTCCGTTTGCCTAATACGATTACATGGTCTTTTCCATCTACCAGACCATCCACCCACCTAAAAACCCCTGCCCCCAAAAACATGGACTTCCCAAAAGCAGCTGGCCAATTGATTTGGACACACGGAGAGGAAAAATGCATATTTTATAAAAAGAAATTTCGCAAGTTTTATTGCGAACACGTATTAACACGTATTTGTATATTGTATTAGTGAATAAGTGTTTACATATTTGCAAGATTCATTTCATAAGTGCATGACAAAAATGTTGGCTTGTGTGTATTTACTAAGCATAATCCATAAAAATAGTTTAAGTAATTAAATCAATGGGAAATAACTTTAAATTTAAGCCTAAATAAAATATATTCTGTTCCCGGAATAACAAATATCTGTAAAAGTTTGAAAATCCTTTTTAATTTTTATTCTTTATTCTATGAAAAATTTAAGAAATTCAATCGATGGGTAATAATTTAAAAGTTTAATTTCGAAATTATGCACAACAAAATTAAACTAACTTAAATAAAAGATTGCCTTCGTCTGCACGGAATAACAATTGACCTTGAAAAACCTCTTTAATAATAAATCTTTATGTCAAAAAATATACAATTTTAAATTAATATAATAAGAAACTCATTTTATTAAGAGTTTTTCGATGTGTAAAAACGTCACGTTGCTTGCGAGGGGTGTGGCAATAAGGAGATGTGAAAAGGGGCGGGGGCAGAGC